AGTTGTAAAGAACATGGGGATCTAAAGATGAGCTGGGAAAAAAAAGACAAAATACCCATTTCTGTCTCCTCTCCCTCAAGGAGTCCAGCTGTACCTCAGGAAAAGACTGCAGGAGTTACTACCAGCTAAAACTGGTCAGGGAGGAATTGCTCATCTTCTGAGTCCTCAGTCTCTCTGTACACCTCCAAATATCACTCACACTACAATCAGAGGGCAATCTGCAAACATCCAAATAAACCTTTGCAGTCCTTGATTCATTGCATCTCCCTCTGAGCACTCTTGGGTGGCAGTGGAGCACAGTTTGGTTTTGTTGTTGTGTGTGTGTTGTAAGATTGCCTGGTTTATTTCCTCCCAATGTGTCCTATTTCTAAATACAACATGAGAATGAAATTGCCATGTCAATAAAATATAGGGGAAAAACAATTGGTGAACAGAGTTTTTTGAGCAGCAGGGAGAAGGTTGAGTTTATGGAGTGCTGGAAGGGCATCAGTGATATTGCTGACAGGTAGGAGAGACCTCAATTAATCCAGGTCACATTCCACTAATTAAGGAAATAAACCATACTTTGCCTAAGTGCAAAGTTTGGAAGAAAATGTGCAAATTGAAATAGAGTCTGTTCACCTTTGTTTTTGTGGAGCAGATCCTCCTGAAGCCAGTCTTCTTGTTAGCTGTGGATCCACAACCCTGGCTGATGGAGAGCAGCTCCTTTGGCTTCATCTCCCTCTCCTCACTCCCAGCACAGGCAGCACTCCTCAGTAATGCAGCTCCAACTCCTGGCTTCAGAAATTCATAATACCACCCCCTATTTCCTCTCCAAATTGTTCATATTGCACATCAATAGATCAGTGCTCCATAAAGTAGTCAGGCATGTTTGTCTTTCTTCCTGAAGCAGGCTATACACTAAATAGAAATTCTATATCGATTTAGCATTAAATGAAGTAACCCTACAAAAGCTGTGGAGCTCCCTTGACACATCCCAGTTCCAGTTTTGCTCCCTTGAGCATCTCCATAGGAGGTGATGCTCCTGAGCTCAGTCCTCATGTCAAAGTCCTGCTTTTAAATTTCTTTTATATTCTCTTTCCCTGCTATGGAACGAGAGCAGGGAGCAGGGTGGCACTGGCTGTGCTGCTGCAGTGTCAATATTGGAGGAACCCAAGGCAGATGGCAGCATTCCCACCACAGCCCAAGGCCACAGCTCTGTTGAAAGCCACTTTTTAATGAATTGAGTTTTCTGGTGGCAACTGGGGTGACCTCACTCACTTCAGAGCTGTGTCTGCCTGGCAAGGGCAGGCAGGGAGGAGAGGCTGGGGAATGAAGAAATCTCATTCTTACTTTCCAGCTACACTGACAAAAAGGCAATTTTTCCTTATGGAAATCGGGGAGGATTTCAGTTGTAAGAACCTGTGGTTTATAAAAAAGGTAATGTAACTTATAAGGCTGGGTTTCCACATGGCCAGAGGTGAGGAAGAGAGGTCAACCCTGGTTCTGCCTTCAGTATTTCCTCCAGAGATTTTTGTAACAGGCTGGGCAAGAGCTCAGACTTCCCATATGAGAGTGGGAGTGCTCAGGCTCCTCAAGTTGATGCCAGATTTCATTGGTCTGGTCTGATTCTTGGATTTCCCTGTTCTCCCCTGCTGTGGGACCCCATTCTGTATGTGCTAGATTTACTGTTTACTGGTGTCTTTCAAGAAGGGACATGAAAGAGACAGACTGAAAGAATGTTTTGTGACTTCTATGATCTGTATTTTTTCACTTGTTACGTATATAATCCAGAGGATACAGGTGAAAAGAGTTGTATGACATGTTATGAAGGTAAGCTCCCACTAATGTCCCAGGCTCCTTCCTGTAGTTCCCACTTCATCACTGCCCCACAAACAAGTCCTGCAGCCTCACACTCTGCTTCATCCTTGGCTGGAGCTTCAGAATCATATTCTAGAAGGCACAAAACTCTTCCTTTGCTGACAACCTTCCCACAACTGGACCTGTGGTGGCTGCTCCTTGTGCAGCTTTGAGTTGGTGCCAGCTCTCAGGATGTATCACGATTTGGCAATCTTGCTTTGCACCAAGAACTGTACAACAGCAGCATTATTTCTTTCTGTCCCATGTATTCCCTGAGTTTCTCAGAGAAAAGGCATTGTGAATTGAACTGGCTGAAATACATAATTTCCTTTTCACAGAAAATCCTGTTTTTCTGGGAAAATCTTTTCTTACCATTTGAACGTAGGACTGTGGTCTTAAAAAATACCTCATGTAAGAGAGATCATCTGTATTTTCACTAAGGAAAACTGAACACAAGATTTAATATTTCCAGGATGCATGTTGACTTTGGAGCATAGTACTGGAATGTGCTTCCAGGCTTTATGCCCTTGCCCAGATCCCAGGCCATGATAAAGAAGGTTTTTCTGGTATTAAGCTTCCCTTCATGTTTCTTTGTTAAATAGAATTTTCTTTGTGAGCACAACTGCTTCTCATAACAAGGATTTGAGTTATGGTTAAGACAGTTCTTACTTGATTGTACTAGCTGAAAATCAGGAGTGTTGCATCAGAATCTTTTGGGAATTATTAAATATTGGCAAAACAAAGCCTTTTTCTGGACCTCAGGCACCTCAACTGTCTGTCCACAGACTCAAGAGGTTTCCCAGAGTGGAAACTCATGCAGTGAACAAAAAAGAGCAAGTATTTCTATTTACTTCAAATGGTTTTCCCCAATTCATCCAAGGAGGAGACCAAGTAAACAGAGGGGCCTCCTTTAAAAGGTAGATAAACAGGCACCGATTCTCTCCATAATTTAACTAAGGAGGACACAGAGCTGCTCCATCAAGGCAGTTTAACAAATTCTTCCTTGAGTAGGATATGAAAATAGAGGTTTTTCCATTCCAGTTTCTGTATATGTTATGAGTCCTGTACAGACAGTTTGGGAAAAAGGAGTCTAAACATTATTGTTTGAGTGTTTCAGAGCTAGACTTTGAGTTCAAATTGTAAAGGGTGAAACATTAATTAAATGCAGCACAATGAAAAACTACATGAAAGCCTGAGAGATATGAATTACTTCTCATTTTGTTGGTTTAGATGATAACTTCCTGGGTTTATTTTTATGACACTGGGAAAATATCACACAACTCTGTTTCTCTTTGATTCTTCAACTTTAAAGTTTCCTGAACCAGCTCCATGGAGGGAGGAGAAAGCTTATTTGTTGTTGTTGTTGAATACCTATTGTGAAGCTTTATTTATAGAAGCCCTTTGTTTGCAGCTGTTCTTTAAGCTTAAAATATGTAGAACTTAAAACATGGTGCATCTTTGGAGGGCTATGATTTGAAATGATGCAGTGTGCCTGTTCCAGTCTGACTGTTCTGTGGCCTGAGGAATGAGGATGGTTAAAGAAGTGGCACAAAGGGTTTTTGAGGAGCAGATACAATGGAAAGCCAGACACAGTGGTTTTGAGCTGTGTAGGTTTGGGGAGAAAAAAAGAAATCTCCAAACACCTGAAGTTATAACCTAGTAGAACTCTTTTTGTTTCAGGGGTGATGAGCCAGGATTTGGTTGGCACAGGGTCATGATGTGCATCCCAGTGGGGTGGGAGTTGTCTCTGGGATTCTGCAGAGAAGAGGGAGAGGGAAAATTGGGACCACTGTGCTCCTTGAGGGGGCACTGGGGTCTCTTCTTCCCCAACTCTCTGAAGGCTTTATACTGTGATAGAATTAGGCAAACAAATGTAAATCCTGTGTTTGTATTTCTCCTGACATGGGGCTGCTCAAAATAATCAGGGGTCTCAGGAAACCAAACAGTCTGGCAGCTCAGAGCTACCTTCTCACTCAAGCAAAATGAGAGGAGCCCTTGATTTGGGCTGGCCTGTGGAGTGCTTCTGGATGAAATGGCTTCTCATTTTATGGCAACACAGAACCACTGGGAGGAGGCAAATCTGTCCTGTCCTTCAGCAAACTGCTGTGTTCAATTTACTTCATTACAGACCAACAGTCCAAAACTGCATCTGACTTACAGAAACTCTTACTGAATGGATACTGAACATATGTTCAGTGCATGTTGAATATGACACCATTGTTACTGCATTCCTTGCTCCCAAACAAAGGATGAAATATTTATCATTTAGGCTCAGTTTAAGTATGATCTATAGTTTCCAGACCTAGAAGGACAGTTTCTTATGGCTATATACCTCTAAGAGCAAGTGGTGTGTCCTTGAATGGTTTAGATCTTTAATTAATGTTTGTGTTCCTCATCATTTTGTAGAGTTGCTCCCTTTCAAGCTTGTGTTTCACTTGAATGACTCCATTTTGAGTGCTGCTGTCTCATTCCTGGGCTGGCATCAACCCATGGTGGTCTCTGTGTTTTGGTGTCCCTGTGAGCACATGGTGCCACAAAAGGATTATTTCTAATACTAGGTTTCCATGCATTTTACAGGCTGTCTTCCCTTGTGTCACAAGGTCTGTTTGAAAAGGGCTCTGGTAAAATTCTGCTGAAAATAGAATGTAGTATTGCCATGGGAGGAGGATGCACAGGAGTTGGCTGCACCTCACCTTCATGTCTGCTCTCTCACCCTTGAGGGCACACAAAGAAATTTGGTGTTGTTTTAGATGTTTGGGGTTTTTAAATGAAGCTAGGAAATTCTCTTCAGAAGAGTCTTTTTATTTGTATTTTTTAGTTAATTTAGGTGTGCTTATGCAAGGGAGTAGCACAGGGGTATTGGTCTGTGTGGCTGAGCCACCCTCACACTGCAAAGCAGGATTTGCAGGATGGATTCATTTCCAAGTGTGTGTTCACTTCTGTAATTCAAATTACATGAATCCTTGTCTAGGGAGAAAACCACAGCCATGACATCCTGCTCTGGAAGCCATCCTGGAATGCCAGATCTCCTTTGGGAAGCACAGAGGTAGCCTGAGAGCTGAGGTCTGTGCCACCAGCTCAGGAATCCCAGTGCTGCCAAGCCTGACCTGCAAACATGAATTCTCACTGCGCTCACCAGTTTCTGTTTTGATTCTCCCCAGGAGCTCTGACTCCGAAGAAGCATTTGAGACCCCGGAGTCCACTACACCTGTCAAGGCACCACCTTCACCTCCACCACCTCCCCCTGAAGCAGCAGCAGCAGCAGAAGTTGTTGCAGACGTAGCAGAGCAAGAAATAAAACCTCAGCTGCCCGTGGAAGATACAGGTAAGGAGTGGGACACGTTACTGGGGGAGGTGAATGTGCAGGGAGGTGTTTCTCTAAGCACTGGCAAGGAATTAATGCTAATCAATTGGCATTAATTAATTACCCATGCAGAGAGGGAAAAAACCCTGTTGCCTCCTGGAATAAAGTAATGGAGAATCTGTTCATAACATTTGAAGAATATTAAAGAAAGAGGTGCTCTCTAGAAAAAAACTTTCTTCCTTTTGAACCAAGCTTCTTTTTCTAGGATTTTTACAGAGTCCATTGAGTAGAAAAAAGAGATGTGGTTTGCAGATGCAGATACATGTGTGAGCACTGTTAACTGTGACAATTAAGAAAATGCCACTTGCAAATGTGTTACTGGAACAGGAGGTAGTCAAAAAACAGAATTACTGATTTTATAGGAGGAACATGGAGCTACATATGAATGTATGTATGGTATACATATGTGAAAATTGGTTCATACTGGGAAAATAAAATCTTTAAAAAGGGAGAATTGTGTTTAAAACCCAAAGAAATTCTTTCCCCCAAAAAGTGTTCTTTGTTCTCCAGATTGAGTAATGGAATATGAGGGAGTAGAAAGCATGCTATTAGCCCAAAATAGCTTTGTTTGGGCTGTCAGATGACAGCTCAACAGCTTGAGACTGAATTCCCCATTGTACTGTCTTTTTTTCCATCTGAAAGTCAAGTCATCTTGATCACCTGGCTAAATTGTATGCAGATAATATTTTTCCCAGCAGTCTAAAGCTGCTAAACACTTGTGTTTGGAAAGAGTTGTAGCATCCCACCAAAGGGAGTTACTCATTAAGCAATGCTGTTTAGGATCTTGATTTATGATAGGTTTTTAAGAAGCTTCAAGGATTTTCTACTAACTGATTTCACAAAATAAAAAGTAAATACTGAGGCACCCTGATGCTTTTTCCTTTCTGCTGTTAGAGTTCCCTCATCATTGTAGCAAAAGTTACTCATTTTGCATCTTTTTTCCTTTTTTTAAATCTTAGGTAATCCAATGATTACAAAATAAGTGCTCAGAGAACAAAAGAACACACACATGCTGAACAGGGTTGGAGTGTGCTTTTAATTACTGCAGTAGATTATCTTCAAGCCCCTGGTTACACATGTGCTTCCCTGGCACATGTGATTCTTGTCTCCTTCCATCCCAGTTTCCCCCCTCCTTTTTTTTTCAGATCTTTTTGAAGAAAAGTGGGAAACTGAATATAGCTATTCACAGCCAGTGTGAACTTTATTGGAGGCCATTGGATGGCAGAGGGGAAACCAGTTCATTTGCAAATCACATTGTCCATGGGAGGCAAGTTACAGCAAAATGACAGAGATCTGTTCAGTGATCCAAAATGATGCAAAACACAATTAGACAACAGGGGAATTGATTGGAGGGGAAGAAGATGCGTAATGCAGAAAAAATCCAAATGTAGGAGGGCAGCACAAAGCAATTCATTTGTTTTGGAAATCTTTAGAAGAAGTAAATAATAATAAGACTATAGTTTAGGTGTTTAGAAATGAGAAAAGTTAAACATTTTGTACTGTATAAACCCCTTGAGTGTCTTCTAGTTTATTTATTTCATAAGTTATGCATGTGGCTGCACACAAAGAGAATTGTGGTCCCTTCCTCAGGGCTCAGGGGCATTAAAGCAGAGTTCTTGGGTGGCACCATACAGCTAAAACTCAGGTTTCACTAGAGGAGGAGTGAGGAATATGGGCAGCTGGAGAGCCTGGCACAGGGAGAGGCAGCAGTGTCCTGCTGGGCTCCTGGTCCAGCAGCCACATGGCTTTGTCTTCACTTGGGATGGGTGACAGAGCGTGGTTGGGTGGAAGGAGGGAGCACAGCAAGTGTTTAAAGGATTCTTTCATCTCTAGCTGACAATAATTATTTATGCAGATGGCTGCAGTTGTGTTGCATGATATCATTAGCACAGCAGCTGGACCCCCCCACTGCTGGAAAGGCAAGAGCAGAGGTTTTAATTAGGTTGGTGGTCCTTTAGTAAATATGATGAAAGTGAACTAAGCTGGACTGGTGCTGGGCTTGTGCCAGCTCCTGGTGGGGTAAAGCCTGCTGCATGGCTCTGGTCCATCAGCAGCAGAGCAGAGGAGGGGAGTCAGTCTGAGGGCAAGTCTGGAGGGGAAGAGGATCAACAGAGCAAGGATGGAAACTACACCTGAGCCCCAGGACTTGCCACCAATGAGCCCTTCCATTCCTCCCTAAATAATTCTGGGAAATATGGGTTATAATCTCACATTGGAGTGTTTGAGGTTGCAGTTATTATTGCCATTATTTTAAATTATTGTTACTTGTCTCTTCAGCTTCCCACAGCAGTGTCCTCTTGTCCCTTGTTTCATCCATCTGAGCACCAGAATGTCCCCCAAGCCCATTCTCCCAAGTACTCTGGTTTTGGCCAGGAATTCCTGCCTAGGAACTTTCTGTCACCCCCACTGCCTTCCCCAGATGATTACTGAATTCAGATTTTATTCAGGGGAAAGTGAGATCTGGAGTCCCCTCTGTGCCTTACAGCCCAACAATCAGGATATGGGGTACCTATTTTTGAGTCCTTCTGGTGCCAGGGAAATTCAAGGTCAGGCTTTCCAATAGACACATTATGGTCCAGACAAAAACAAATTAAATTTTTGGTATGGACAGCATTCTTCTTCAGAGTTTTTCTTCTTGAAGCCTGATATGGAAAATTTGAAAAGAAACTTTTATATACAATGTTAGAATACATCTTAGAATAAATGACAAAAGTATTTTTACAGAACTTTAAACAAGCGGTACTAATTGATTTTCTGGCATCAAAGGGTTTCCATAAGAAGAAGGAACTTGAAGTAAACCATGTTTCAAAATTTCTAGTGTAAGGCAATTCCAATTCCTATATGCTTTTGGCATTTTTTCCTCATAACATAGTAACTGGATGCATGGTGTATGCATTTTCCAGAGGTTTGCCTTTGTTTGCTTTTTCTCTAGAAAACAGAACTGATATTCAATTTCTTCTCTATTTGCTTATTACATCTGTTTAAATGTTATTGCTAAGCCTGTCAGAAGAGTGTTTCATTTTGTTTCCAGATCAGCAGTCTTGAGGCCTATTTCCAGTTTATTTCTGCTTTAGAGAGGCTTCAGCAAAGTAGCCCCTTGCCTTGGCTACTTCTGTAAAAAAGCAACAGGAATTTGTTTTGTTTATTAATGCACACAGTGTTACAATATTTTATTCATGTTCTCAGGCACAGGGTGGGATTCCTGGGTCTGTCCTGTGCAGGGCCAGGAGTTGGACTTCAGTGATCTTTGTGGGTTCCTTCCAGCTCAGGATATTCTGTGATTCTGTGACTTTCTAGCATCTTCTGGTTCTTCCATAGCAGGTGCCAGGTGAAAATGCCAAGTATTAAATACGCCAGGTAACTCTTAATATTTAGGTCTCATCACCTGGATACAAGGAATCTGAGATTTATATTGTTGAGTTTGGGTTTGGGAATTTTTTTTATAGTTGATCCAGTGGAAATGTGGTTGGAATCAGAGGAATTTCCCAGTGGAAGGAGCAGAACTTGGACCTTCTTTTTTAATTAATGAAATTGGGGGTTTGAGGAGCTTGCCTGGTTTTTTTTATTGCAGTGTAAGTTCCCCAGCTATCCTCCAGGTTCTTGGAGAGCTTTATAAAATTTAATATCTTCTTGTGGGCAGCTCCTACCAGTATAAATTGTGGGTGACTCAGTGCTAATAAAAGGCATAAACCTGATTTGAAATGTTGTGCTGCTCTCTCTCTAGGGCAGGTAAATCCTGCCTTAAATCCCATAGCTGGTGTTGTAGTATGTTCCTTTGTGCTCAAACTGCATTTTAATAAAATACTGTAGTGATACTGATTGGCTTGATTTTGTGTTGTAAAAGGACAAATGTCCCTGCTCTCTGAATAGGCTGTTAATGTCAGGAAAGTGTGGTCTTCATGACTTTGTAGTAATAAAGCCTTGAGTACCATTTATGCCTCCTGCCCCAGCAATTCTGCTGCTACCATGAGCGAGCCAAAAGAGGCTGACAGCAGCATTTCTGTACTGCCAAGAGCTGTTTGCTGAGACAGTTTCACATCTTGTTTCATAAAGAAACAATAAAAATATCGAGCAGTGCTCTGCAGAAATCCGTACTCTTGAGTAGAAAGGATTTGATGAGGAGGAAGTCATGAAATAAGCAGTTAAAGAAGATTAAAGCCTTGCACTGTGTGGAGCCCACAGAATTGAAATGTTGCTTTGTTGGGAGTAGATGCAAAGCCTTGCACTCTTTTTGCATGATGCATCCCAAACCTCAGCCTCTTATTTACAGTCCAAGTCCTGCAGGGCAATGGTTTATTTTATTTTATTTTATTTTATTTTATTTTATTTTATTTTATTTTACTTTGTTTTAGTGCATGTTTATAACTGCTTGGAGCAAGGGCCTCGATGCTGCTGAGGGCTTTGACGTAGGCAGGAATGCAAACAGTGCATAACTGCAGATGACTCCTCGTTCAGATCCCACTTTGATTTCATGCTGACCTACATTTGTACTCCACTGGCATCCCAGTGTTTATAGTGATGTATTCCCCTGAAGTGCCTTCCAGTCTCCTTTCAGGGTGAAAGGGACAGATGAGGCTGATGCTGGAGGTCTGTGTCACTCTCTGAGTGCCCTTTGAAGGAGTCCCATCAGTGTCACCAAGTGATGTGTGTGTGAAGTGGGCACCAGCCTAATTAATGACCCCTCAGCCAGGCTGAAACCAAGCCCAAACCAGTGGGGATTAAGGAGAAAAATAAACTGTTCTGAAGTACTGCCACGCTATTAGCATTCATTTAGCAAAAAAAAAAAAACACATTAGGATATTATTTTAATTGATGTATCCTAGTGAACTTCCACAGTCTTAAAAGAGAAACTGCGTAGCTGTCATCCCTTTGACAGTCTCTGGAAGTACATGGTGCCACATTGGGAAATGTGTCCAATTCCCTTAAAAATCCTTTTCTGTGCTCTACACCCATAAATAATAATCCTTGCAGACACACAATTTCTTCTGAAACAAAGGAAATCTTTTTTTCTCTTTTCTTAATCCATTCATAGCTTCTCACTAAAATAATAATTGATTGTCTGTATGGCTTTTATGAACAGTGTTAATGAATGTAGCAGAGCAAAATGAGAGTTTTTCTGCAAAACATGTCAGGATTGGAATGAAAAGGATGAGCAGAAATGTCTCTAAAATCGTTTGGGGCTGAGCAAAAGACTCATTTTTGTTTGACTGTTTTTCTTTATAATTGCATAATTAAAAAAATATGACAGTGTGAAGAAGGCTGTGTTGCTTCACCAGGAAACACGGGGGCATTTTGCTCCTCTGTGAGAGCTGTGAGCAGCTGGCTCAGCCCAGCCTGAGCTGGGAGCTGGAGAGAGCTGTCCCAGGTCTGGGGTACCCCATAGGGACACTCAGGGACAGAGGCGTCCCTGGTTCATTCAGGTCAGAGTAGAACAGTCACAGCAGGAGCAAACCATATGCAGGATTTGTAAAACATTTGCATAATCAACTTAATGAGCTGGAAGGCAGCAAGGACCATCAACTTCCTGCTTTTCTACCTCTCTATTTTCTGATTTTTTGTTATTCACTCTTTTTCTACTTTGTCCAATAGTTGTTTTATCCCAAGTGAAGAGACTCCTATAAATCATTTTAGGATTCTATTCAATAAGAAAACCTTTAATTGCAGCGGAAAGCTGCTTGGATTAAGAGTTTTGACATAAATCTCTCTACAAAATTTTCTTTTCATCAACAAGTTAGAACTACACTTGGAAAAACCTGGTTTAAATAATCAGTAGGGAGCTTCTAGCTTTTTAAAAGAAGATTCTTCAACTGAAAATATTTGTGGAGTTCTCTAAATGACCTTGCTTAGTTTCTTTTACCTTTACCATAATTTATTTCATATTAAGTTCTCAATTATTCATGTCTTTTTATAAACTTGTAATTATTGACTGCTTGGGGCAGACAGAGGAGCAGCATTGATGGGTTGTGGAGAGGAAACCATTTTCCTCTGGGTAAATTGGTAAAAATAGCACATGGGAAACAAAACTTAAGGTCAACATATAGTTACTGAAGCAGCAGTCAATTTACAGGAGATTTACTTCATAAAAGCTCTGACACAATTGTGTGAACTCTTTATAGTAGTAGAAAATGGGAGTAAGAAAGTGCTTTATGTGCAGTTTTTCAGGTATTGGCAATATTTAGCATATTATGGTAATATCCATCTCTGTAAGTGATAGTTTAGAAGAGGTGCTTTAGAGGTATTGCAAGTACATATTTTGTCTTTTTGTGAAACTTGCCTTGGATCCTGTTCTGGGGAGAACAGATCTGGTTTTTTCCTAATCCGGTTCAGATATTGAAAAAGTCACTTTGGTTTGCTTAGTCAATTTTGTATGATTTTAACGCCTTTTACTTGTAGCAATATTAGATTGTAATAAAACCTCGTAAGCCCCAGTGCAGAAAAGGTGTTTGAAGTGCACTGAGTTCTCTGCTTGCTCCCACAGGGCTGTGTTCAGAAGCTGACCCCGTAACCGATGTGTCACACAGCGAGCCAGTTCAGGAGAGCCCCTTCCGTCCCCCCTGCCATTCCTTCTCCGCTGTCTTCGACGAGGACAAGCCCATAGCCAGCAGTGGAACCTACAACTTGGATTTTGATAACATTGAGCTGGTTGATTCTCTCCATGCCTTAGGACCGAGCTCTGCAGAGCCCAAGAATCGTGACCCCAAAGCAAATGTCCGGAGAAAATCCACGGATTCGGTCCCAGTGTCCAAATCCACGTTGTCCCGGTCTCTCAGCCTGCAGGCCAGTGATTTTGATGGAGCATCTTACCTTGGCAACAGTGAGACATTAGCACCCTCAGCAGATGCCTACAGTACTGGTTCCAGCAGCGCTTCCAGTACCCTCAAAAGAACAAAAAAACCCAGACCAGCTTCCTTAAAAAAGAAGCAGTCAGCCAAAAAACCTCTGGATGCTCCACTGGTGAAGGAAACCCCACAAGAACTGCCTGAGCTTGGCCAAGCAGCTTGTGAGGACAAAGTACCTGAGGTGAAGGCTGACTCAGCAAAGCCTGAATGTACTGAACCTTCCAAAATCTCTGCTGAGAAAGAGGAGGCCCCATCTGTGCCTGAGGGATCTGAGCCTTCGGATCCGGACCGTTTGGAAGGGATTAGTGCATTTAGCTCTGGGGGCAGCAAGGTGCAGAACTCCCCCCCTGGCAGCAGGAAAACGCTGCCTCTAACCACGGCCCCCGAGGCTGTGGAGGTGACTCCACCAGACACTGGGGGACAGGAGGACCCTCCCATCAAAGCAGTGAGGCTGGAGTTTGATTATTCTGAGGAGAAAGGGGGGAGCGAAGAGCAGCAGGAGAGCGCTCCTCCTCCCAAAAAAGCAGGGAAAAAGCCTGGTGCTAAAATGCCGCTCCGGAGGCCAAAGACTAAAAAGCCGGTGGAGAAGCTTGACAATGCTCCGACCACCCCGACCAAGTCGCCCACTGATCCAAACGAAATCCCCATCACTAAAGGCTCTTACACTTTTGATATCGACAAGTGGGACGATCCCAATTTTAACCCCTTCTCATCCAGTACAAAAATGCAGGAATCGCCCAAACTGCCTCAACAAACGTACAGCTTCGAGCCGGACATGTGTGAGGACTCCATTGACCCTTTCAAGTCTTCTTCTAAGATTGCCAGCTCGCCTTCCAAATCTCCAGCTTCCTTTGAGATACCAGCCAGTGCCAACGAAACAAACGGGATGGAAGGAGACAGCCTGAACAAACCTGCCAAGAAGAAGAAGACGCCACTAAAAACGTAAGTTAAAGGGCAGAGTCGTTTCTAGAATAGAAGCAGCACATCCCTTAGCACAGTTACACAGGATTTATAGCTCAGCAGGGAGAGGGAGGTGACTTTGGGTGTTGGTGGCCACAATTGGAGTCATGCTGAGCTGTTCCTGCTCTCAACCTGTTTCCTCAATAATTGGATATTTCCAGAACTACCAAGCCATGTTAGGCAACTGCATTTTTCAAGTCTTTGGGCTCAGCGTAGTTCTGAACCTGGTTAAATTTTATCAGTTACATACCCAATTTTATCAGTTACATACCCAATTTTATCAGTTACATACCCAATTTTATCAGTTACGTACCCAATTTTATCGGTTATGTACCCAATTTTCTGTGGCCTCATTCTGTGAAGTTGATGCTGTTTAAGATGACCAAAGTAATTCCACCAGCACAACTATTTTATGAATCATTGGTTTTGAGTGTGGGATGTGAAATAGTGACAGTGAAAGGCAGTGACAAATCTCATATTGCAAACAGCAGGAAGATGGTTTCATCCAGTGACTTATGGTTTTTAAAAGAAAATAACCTAGAACAGAAGAGTGCAGTATGGAAATACATTTTTATATATATTTATATATATACACAATTAAGAAAAAAATCCTTTTTATGAAAGAGCTTACAGCTGTGCAGAAAGTTTAAAATATCCAAAACTACTATATGGTAGGGAATTATCCAGCTTTTAGACATGGGTGACAAATTCTAGGATAAATTTGCTATTAGATATTTGGTTAAAAACCTCTCTAGCTGGTTGCTGATTTGCATGTTGCTTTATCTGCTCAGATATGGTTATTTTGAGTTGTTGATCCCTAAATTTAAGTGTCCCATATATCTGAAGTTTATCTCCTGTGTATATCTGTAAGAAAGTATCTCAGTTCATGTTCCTTTATGATTTAAATGTTCCAGCTGACTAACAAAAATGGGAGCAAATTTTTAAAATGCCAATTTAAGATAAGAAGATAACATGGTTAATGTAAAGCAGTACAAAAGCTGATCTCCTGTACAGGGTGAAATGGAGATTATTCAGATTTTTCTGAATAGCCTCCTGCCTTCTAAGCTTCTAATTCAAGTCCCTTGTCAGATTTGAGGAAGCTTGTGCCTTTATTTTATTTTCTTTCTAGGGGCATTTCTGACTTACTGATAGTTTAGTTGTGTAGTTGAGTTGTTTTCTTTGGGGGAGAAGCCTTTTTATTTCCTGGTGTTGCTACTTTTTGAGGTTCACCTGAAACTTTGTGGTAAATAACATTTTTCCAAGCCTGCAGTCCAAACTGATTTGGTCCAAACCAAGAAGATTTAAAAGTCTGACAGCAAGAGAGGAACAATTTGAATCTTACTGGGGATGTGCAGAGGAGAATTTTAATGTCACCAGATCTTTAAGTTTTTGCAGCCAGCCAGAGTCTCCTTGTGTCTTCCAGTAGCTGGCGTTGACAGACCCCCAGAGTGGGCCTCTTGGGTCCTCCGTCTGCTTTGAATACTGGAAAGAATTCCAAAGTTATTAATTTAGGGGGAAAATGAGTTTACAGAGAGTTTACAAAGCCATGTTTGTCCTTGAGAAAATTCATCACAAGAAAATTCTGTCTTGGAATGACAAAGTTCAGTGCTGGTGTTTATCAGGGTGGGGAGGTGAAGCTCCCCCAGCTCAGGGCTCTCAAGTTCTTGGGTCAGAAAGGCTGCAGGAATTCCCAGCCCGTGCTTGCCATTGCTTTCCCTGGGTTGTGCTGTGTGTTGCTCACTGCAGCCCTGTAACCTACTTTTGCAAGTGGGTTTTTTGGGTTTGTTTTTTTTTTTTGACAAAGATGAGACTGAATGTTAATAACCCATTGCAGCCTGCAGCTGTGGTACTTTCTAGACGAAAATCACCTTCAGGCTTGAGAGGGGATGCCAGGGTAGGCAGTGTATGAGCCCTGTTGAGGGGTGCAGAAATCAAATCCTGTTTGGAAATGAGTTCCTCATGTGGAAAGGCAGTGAGTTCTAGATTAGAGGTGAAGGAGCCAGGCATGAGTTTAAGCCTGTGCTGAGCTTGTACTACCTTGAATCTGAGCCATGTGCTCAGTCTAACATGTGCTAAATCAATAAAAATATGCCATTTTTGTTCTTGAATGAAACTTCAAGAATTTAAGCATTGACCTCCCTGTGAAAAATGATTTTACAAGAGATGTGAGCTCAACACAAACTGCTCCCTGCTCATCTCCCTGAGTGCTGAGCTGCTTGGAGACAATCACACTGCTCAGGTGATGCTGAGCAAAGAGCAGCTGATGCCTCCCCAGAGCCAGCTCACAGTGATGAGCAAAAATAAGTGGTTTCTAGAGATATTGCTTGTGCAGGCATTGCTGTGGAAGCCCTTGGATGGCTGGAGGCTGTTTGGAAATGGAAGGTGCCAGCTGTCACGGGCATTGCACGTGAGGAGAGATGAGCAGAAGCTGCCAAGCTTATAAGCAAATGAAAACTTCTCTTAGTTCAAGATGTTTGGCAAGGTTTGGTTCTGCTTTGGGGGTAACCAGTTTGCTCTGTTGGAACACCAGGTTAGGTTTTGGAGAGAGCCAAACCAGCTGAGATTTAAAGAAATGTCATTTTCTATCCTGACCTGGGTAAATGGCTTGAAATGGTCAAGTAGCATTTTCTGTGCTGTCACAACACATCAGCAAACATGACAAAACCTGGAATAACTGTGCCCTCTCCTTAAGCTTAGCTGCCATTCAGGAAGAACAGTTTTGCATCTCATATAATAACAAATACTGTGTTCTGAAAAGCAAGCAGGTGGCCTCCATCAGGGCAGGCAAGGACAGTTAGTATGCTGAGAGGAATTAACTTGAACGTGTCAGCTTTGAAAAATGTGTTTTGTAAGATGAAAGCGTTTTAAAAGTGTAACATTGAACTAGAAAACATTGAAGGACTTGATGAATATTTTTATTTTCTCCTTGTGTACATCAAAATAAAAAGTAGGGGTTAAGATTATACAGGTGGAAAATATGCATGATCAGATTGCCTTAACACATTAACATTAACAGAGTATTTGTAGGTTAATCTTTTTTGTCAGTTCCTTCTGTCTGTCTCTCTTTTCTTTGTCTTATTTGTCTTAGGATGGTAGAAGATGTGATGTCTGTATGTTCTCTGTTGTAAGTAATTCTAAGCTAACAATTCAAATTTCCTCTTTGATTTGTGGGCTTTTTAATTTTACTTATTTATTTTGCAGCATGATCAGTTATTATTCAGCATGCAGCTTTTATGTTAATGATTTCATTTCACTTGCACATATGAAAGCTATTTTAAGTAAGATGCCTGACTGTGATTGAGTTTGCCTCATTATCTGTTGCCTATCAAAGAAGATCCTCCTTTAAAACCTATAGAAATTTTGTATCCTTGAGCTAAAATATGGAAGTTTTATTTCTACCCCTGAACAACATTGTACAATCAATTCTTTGTAAATACTGCATAAAATGCTGGTCTTTCTTGAAGGAAAAAGTTATCTAATTAATTCTGCCATCATAACTGGATAATTAATGGCATTGAACACACCAATATTCAGCTGCCCAATTTATTTTCCCCTCTAGATGTGGTATTGATTTACCCTCTGCCCACCATTAATTAGAATTAGAAACCCACCATTAGAATTTCTGGTGTCAGCCTTGCCTTCGTTGATCAGGGATGAGCTGGTGGGCTCAGTAATTTTTGCTGCTGCATCTCTGCATCTCTGTTCAAACATAAAGTCTTTATCAGTGAGTTTGCTAGAGTATTTTTCTCCCTTTTGTAGCTAGTAACATCAATGGTTTTGAAGGCAATAACTCTGGCAATGTGCATCAAGAGAACAGACAGATAATTCGTTTATTCCTGGTTAGAAAATATTTTTAGCCAATTGTGAATAAAGGCAACAGTAATAATTATATACTGTCATGACATAATTTATATTCTTCATTCATTTTGCTTGACTGAAACCTGTTGGATTTTGGAGGGCTACAGTGTCCGTGCTCCCAGTCTGCACTGTGAGGTGTCAGGGGAAGTGGAAGCAGAATTGCCATATTGCTTGTTTTATTTCTTTTTAAAAAGGTCTCTTCTGCCCATTTGTAATGACACAGCTCATTCTTGCATCTGGGGAGCAGCATCTGCCTCAGATGGTTTTATATAGTTCATCTAAAGCAAACCAGGTTTTTTCTTCCTGGTTTTTGGGGTCATTGGAGCCTAAGTTTATCACAGTTTGAATTCTCAGGTGAAGGTGTGGGTTAGACCTAATTTTGGGATGTGAAACTGAAGCAGACAGAAGCTGAATCATTTCCACAGGGCCCTGGAGGGAGCCTGTGGTGGAGCAGGGATGTGAATTGCAGCTGAATTTGAAATGCAGTCTGCTCTGTGAATGTGTCAGGAGCTAGCATGAAAAATATGGCAATCCTGCTGCTCTCAGCTTTGGAGGGATGGAGGCCTGTTCCAAGTGCATGACAAAATATGTACCCATGGCATGGTTCTCTGTGGTGCTGCTTCCTAATGGATGGGATTTTAATGCAGAAGGGCTTACAGAGGCTGCATTGTCTGTGGCTGTCTCTTGCTAAGTGTGAAATGACCTGATTCTTGCTGCTGTTACCATATTAACACTTTGAACTTTATTTTCAGTGATACATTTAGGGTGAAAAAATCACCAAAAAGATCCCCACTATCAGATCCTCCTTCTCAGGTAAAGTGCTGCCTTATTTTGATGCATGTAATTTGTGTCCTTGAAGGGGTAAAAAGAAGGAAATTTTATTCATTTAATCGGAATTAAATGTTTAATAACACAAGATATTTTTGTTTTAGACTTGTTCTTCCAATAATAAAGGAGATTTTTGTAAACAATATATGCATAAGTCCAAGTATGCATATATTCTTTACAAAATACATTCTTTATATGCATTGGGGTCTTACCATAAAGCATTAACCTTTTGTCCTATAAAGTGTATACACAATATACAGCAGTTCTTGTATTTTCTCTGGGAATTCCAGCTAGAGTATTAGCTAATGTACTTTGGAAAGCCCTGTGTTAAGATGGAACAAGGATATGAGTAAATATCTTCAGTCTGAAAAACAAGACTATCACTATCCACCCTGGAATTTTTAGATTAGGAAGTAAGAAACTAAATGTGCCAAATTGGTGGGTTGGAAGGGAAATAGAAATAAACTAAGTGGGCTGATCTCCCAGGAGCATGTGCTTGGATAGCTTGATTCCATGTTGTAAACTGCTGGCAGGTGGTTTTCTTGGAAGAGAAGTTGACAAAAGCTGCTCTTCCACAAAGGCCTGACTGCTTTGATGTGGCACAGCTCCTTCCATGCTGCTGCTCCTCTTCCTGTTCTCCATCCTGCCCTTTTATTTGTGCTGCTTGACAGCATAGAAGTGAAGAAAGGGGAAAGGGTTCATGACCTCATGGTCCTACAAGGGTTTGCTCCTACGAGGGAAGCCTGAAAAGTCAGTTTTGGTAGTCAGGGACTTCAGTGGTGGGTGATGTGTGCCACTTGTGTCAAGTGCATAACAGATTTGAACAGCTCTGGATCTTCTTTCTTCCCTGTTATCAAAGCAGCTTTGCAATGCAAGTGTTTATCATCAAAGAGCTGAGTTATACTGGGAAAACTTGCTGCTGGTAGAGTTAGTATTTTCCATTAAGTATTTTATACAGCACTGCAGCAGAGATTATGGAATTAAAGAGATGGCTCTGGTGGTGCAGGGGAATTCAGAGATGGAGCTGCTCCATGTGTTAGTGAAAGATAATGGAATTAAGTGGCTCTTGTTTGCTGCAGGATCCCACTCCACTGCCAACTCCAGAAACGCCTCCTGTCATCTCCACGGTGGTTCACGCCACGGATGAGGAGAAGCTGGCGTCCTCCGTGACGGGGCAGAAGTGGACCTGCATGACTGTGGACCTGAACACGGACAAGCAGGACTACCCTCAGCCCTCTGACCTGTCCACCTTTGTCAATGAGACCAAGTTCAGCTCTCCCACTGAGGGTACTGCTCCAGCCAGGGGCTTTTGCTGAGAGACAGGGCTTGGTTTGGCCAGGGGTGTTGGGTCTGTGCTCTGCTGAATGCAGACTCTAATTAGGGAACCCTAAAAATGGTGCTCTCTGGGCCATTCTGGGGAGCTGAATGTAAGACCCCAACAGTCCAGCCTTGAGTTTTCAGGAAAGAAAAGATGCTTAAAGGGAAATGAGAGGGCCCTTCAGAAAAAGGCTTTTGCTTTCTTTGTGTGATTAATTGTTCTTCTCTGTGAGCAGTGTGTTCTGTCAGTGCCTTCACAGGTGAATGGGGTCTGATATTGCTCCAGAGTCACTGAACTACTGATGCTGCCTGAGCCTGTTCCTTAACCTGCATGGGGAAAGGTCCCATGTTAAAATTCTGCTCAAATTTTCTGTATTGCAGTAATACCCATACCATGCCATCTCTCTTGCAGCTTCTTGGGCTCCAAATATTTTCATGCATAAAAGTGTCCAGGACATCCCCTCTGTAAGAGAGTTACCATTCATATTTCCAGATAAAATCTCTACTAGATCAACTATAAAAGTTTTGTCCTGCCATACTTTCCTATGAGCAGCTGGGAGCTAAAGCTGGAAGTTTCTGTTTAGAGAGCTGTCATTCCAGGTCTGTGAAATTTGGAAGGGACAGAATTAAGACAATTTGTGTGTGGCCTTCCTTGGGGCTACCAGAGGGAATTCTGCTCCAAAAGCAGATGTTCAGCTTTGTGGGTGGGAAGCATGTTTGAGTTTAACTTGGCTTAAACTTTTTCTTCTTGATTAGAATTCATTTTTTCCCCCCATCCTTTCAGTCCCTGTCCCAATCTACCATTAAATCTACTTTCTGCCATTTTAGGCTGGGTCTAAATTTATGCCTGATTAAAAACTTTTAGGTCAAGGTCTTTGACATCAAAAAGCAGCAACAGTCACAGTGCTTTTGTTGATATTCACATGCTTGTGTGACCTGGGCTTTTCTGAAATCTGTTGAGTATTCTAAACAGATAAGTATTTCAGTCTGGATGAATTCATTTGTCTTTATTGTCAAATCATAAATTTAGACATTGACTTCCCTGTATTTGAATTTTAAAAAATAACTTAAAAAACACTTTCTATAAAATAAGCCCCCCTAAATCTGGGAAGATGGAAACTATATGGAAGAAAATGGAACAAAGGAATAGTAAGAGACACTCTGAAACAATCATTTTAGCTTTCAAAGTGGGTAGAGGAAAGTGAGCAAAGCTCCTAATTAAATGGTAATTGTCTTGTCTCATGTGTGCTGCATGGTACAGTCGGGGTTTCAGATTACACACTCATTATCATCAACAATGCTTCTGCTTTTCATATCTCTTAAAAATAATAATTTTTTCTCCTTGTCAGTCTTGCTCCTGCAGCTTTGAGAAATTTCTGAGTAATTTGAGGGCCATTTCTCAGTGTAGATATTTTTACCTCTCCCAGACACCCGTGTGTTACCCTGTAACCTAACACTGCTTCTGTACAGATACAGCCCAGCTCCTGAGCCAGCCATTGCATCCAGCCCTTATCTGTGTCAGGCACTGCCTGTAGCTGCTGCCATTTTCCTGTTGCACAGACCCGAAATAAGCTGTAATTATTAGCAGAAAATTCTGATGTAATCTTGCAGCTATTTGTAGGAGGAGTTGGAGGACATCACTTAGTAAGTCTGTTGAACGTGTTTATAAAAGATAATTGTCTTGCTTCGTGGGATATCCTGGGCTTTTCTGATTTTGAATGCATAGAGATAACTGGAGCCTAAGATTTTGGAGGGGAGATGATGTCTGAGAGGAGAGGAGAGAGAGGAATTGTGCTGGAGACTCCTGAGAGCAGTGAGACGAAACAAACTGCGTTTAGCCAGCCGCGTTACTCCTTTTGTTTCTACTTGGACTGTTTCCATCTGTGTCCTGCCTAGTTGTTGGTTTTGTTTTGTTTTTTTTTGTCAGCAGTGAAGTTAAATGCGTGTTGTCCCAGCAGTCAGTTTGGGTTGGGATTGCAGAGCTGCTGGCAGTGCTGCAGGCAGGTGGAGGATCCCCGTGGCTGTGCCAGCAGAGGACAGTGCTGGAACGTCTGCTGCCCCTGAGGCTGCCTGGACACTCAGGGCTTGCTCTCTGGAGCATAAAGCTGCTCCATAAACGCTCCTGATGCACCTGACTGGGCTGTCTGTGCATAAATGGGATACAGAGAGGCAGTTTCTAAACACTTGCTGCTGTTACCTGGGATTTCAGGCTTTCTCCTGCAGTTCAGCTCCTCGTAGAGGGTTTGAATTCATCCTTCCAATTTGGGTTTTGCTTTCACTGGGAAGAGAAGTGAATGAGAAAGGCTGTTGCTGGTATCTGACACCAGGAGGTTGTCCATCTTGCCTGGCTCCCTATTACCATTAAAAACATATGGTGCTAGGAATTTCAACGTGAGGAGCCTGCTATTACAGCTTTCTCTTCACTTACAGGTTTTACTGTGAATATCCCCTACCAGTACTGAGGGTTTGTGGCTCCTCCTCTTCAGTGGTTGTTTGACAAAATACATAGCTTGTGGAATTACAGTCCTTGTGCAGTGCTTTTTATTACTAAAAAAAAATAAAATTCAAGCATTGTAAAATCACACTGAACCCTCGAAAACTTTCTAAATCAACAAATCAGGCTAGAGATTCTCTTCAGGGTTGTTTGTTTTTAAACATAAAACATTTTAATGGTGGTTATCATCTTCTTAATGCAAGCTCTACTTTTTCAAAAGCTGCCCAAATCTAGAAGGATTTTAGCACATGATTTTATCATAATGCAAATGGTAGCATGCATTTCCTTAGGATTTATTTAGAGTCGGAATCAAATTATGCAAGTGGTTTATTGAATTAAGTCATGGAAACAGAACAAAGTACAGCATTTGCACAAATTAATTATGCTTTTAATTTTAAATTAAGTTGTCATTGTAGGAAGTTGGCTTTCATTTGAGTGCAGGATGGTATAATCTCTTTTCCTGTGTTAGATTTGTCTGCTTCTGTATCAACTACTGGGTGACCACAGACTGGGGAGAAATGCTGGTTATTCCCCCCAGTCTAACTGGGAGATTAGAAGCAGAGAAGCAGTAAAGATTTGCATTTTTATTACATTTTAGACTTAGGGTTCTTTGTAAATCTTCCTGCCTTAGACTCTTTCTCTGAAAGCAAAATGTGAGAACAGCTCCATAGGCTGGGCTGGTGCCTCACTCCTGGTTCATGAGCATTTTATGTACCTTTTTCTTCAGTGATAGCCCAGTAGTTGTTCTGAATTAAGAGTGTGATAAACATGAAAAAATAGAAATTATTTTTTCTCAACAGCTGTTAAAATATGTTTAAAAGAAATTGGCATCAGCATTGCCATTTATTGAAAAAAATATGTTTTCTGTGATAAGATAACATGATAGGGGAAAGTTGCCTGTACTCTGAAACTACTCTGAAACCTTCTCAATATTCTGGTTCCCTGGGGCAAATTAAAAAGCTGAATTTTTTTCTGGCAAGCTGATTTGCCTGAAAAGTGTCAGGTTCATTGTTGAAAATGAGTGAATATTAACACCTTTTACTTTCTCTCTGTATAATCTATTTTTAATATGTCATTGGAAAGTATTGAGCAGAGTGGGAGTGGCCCTTGTCAATGAGCTCTCATTTACTTCTGAAAAAATCGTGTCATGGCATGTATTAACACCTCTTTTTTTGTTTCTGTTGCAGAATTGGAATATGGCAACTCATATGAAATAGAATATATGGAGAAAATAGGCTCCTCTGTGCCTGTAAGTTCTCACCTCCATTTCCATTCATTTGCATTCCCCTGTCAGAATATACTATCCTGGTAATGCCCTCAGCCTCACCACCCTTTAAATTAATTATAATGTGCCTGCAGCAGATTTGCAAAACCAGTTCCTTGAAATTGGCATTACTGGGGTAAATTGCCTGTGCTTTGTTGTCCTGTGTCCTGTAAAGCTTGTTCCATTTCATGATTTTATTTCTAAGCTAGCATCACAGTAGTTCTCTCTGGAGATTCAAAGCCAATCAGTATTTCCAGCAGTGCAGAGTGCAGAGCTGTCTACACCAACTGCTGAACTCTTTTAGAAACTGGGAGTAAAAGTTTGAAGAAGCTGGAGGGAATCAGGAGAGAAACATATTTAGTGTGAGGTCTGGAATGCTGCTCTGTACATTATCCCTTTTTTCACCTTCTTTTTAATCATGGATTTGATAGCTGGACTGGATCCAATGAGGGGATATCCACTGGGGACATTAGGAAAATCACCTCAGGTGGTACTTAAAGCAATGAGAATATTCAGTGGACATTTTAGTAACACCCTCAGCCAAGGGGTGCCTCCTGCCAGACAGAAATCTGATTAACCCCAAATTGGGAGAAGAAGAGCCACTACAAAGAGTGAACTGTTTAGGTTTTGTCCTTTAACAGTTTCTTCCTGGGAGGATCCATCTCAGTATCAGCATTACAACCCTGTATTATTAGTTTTCTGTCAACTCATTTGCTCACTAAAGGCTTCAGTGACCTGAATTATCTTTAATGGAGAATGGTTGAATTGCTTAATGAGTTTCTCTTTCCCTGTGGCCAGCAGGATGACAGCACCCAGAAGAAGCAGTCCTTGTACCTAATGTTTGATGCACAGCAGGAGAGCCCAGTGAAATCACCTCCCATCAGATTGTCTGACTCCACAACTCCCTGCTCAGGGTAGGTCACAGTGAGCAGAGCCTGTCAGGGGAGTGGGTTACCCTCAGAGCACATACACAGGAACTTCTTCCTCTCTGTGCCTCTGTGCTGCCAAGTTATTTGTTTAAAAATAGATCCCCATCTGTGTACACATATGATAGAGAACAGAGGGCAAAGAGATACAAGTTTCAGGAGGGAATAAGGACATGGATTTCTCCTTCACATTTTAACTAAATAGCCAGTGTAGCAATTGTTTTACTGGGCAGTGGCCTCCTACTTAAAGCTTTTTCCTCGAATACTCAGGTAATTTTCACATTAGTGTAGAAATCTGTTAATTGCAGTTTTTCACTTGGTTTTCCCTGGATACACTTTCTGAACAAGGGCTCTTGTTCATAAGACCAGGATATGGGAGTTGCGTTTACTTCCAATAATTTTGCTTGTCAAGGACATCTGTTCTTGTGAGTAAGAGCTGTGTTTTGGGAGAGAGATAGTGAGAAAGGGGTAAAAAGGCAAGTGAGAAATACTGAAGAAATGTGACATTTCTGATGGAACTGGTTTTATTTTGATGTCTCCAGTGCAGTGCTTTGAAAGGATATTGCAAAGTGTTACGAGATATAATGATGTAAAATTGAGTTGAAACAATGTGTGTATAAATATATTTTTATTATATATACACATGAAAGTGATGAAGAGGACTTGCTCAGCTGTTACCAGAAGCAGAATTGTGAAGCCTGAAAACATGTGCACAATCTTTTTCCAGGTCGAGTTTTGAAGACCCTGAAGGCCAGCAGTCCTCTGGCATGAAAATCCCGCACCCAGCTTCCCGCGTCCTTGCTGCCAGCCAAGAGGGACATTTACAGCCCCCTGACAAGGCCAAGCAGAAGGACCTGGAGCCCATGACTCTGGGAACAACTCCAGAGGCCATTGAAATCGTGAGTCCTGTATGATATAAGAGTTTGGGAATCATTTTCCTCCAGAAATTTTGCATTTTGCTTTTGTCCCGAACAACTTGGGCAAAATCTCTGTTGCTTATTCAGCCTCCTCTTTACCCTTCAGGCTTCTCCTGAAGACTCCTTTGTCTCTGCTGATGCTCTTCTCAATAGGATATCTAAGAAAGCCTCAATATGTGATCAGCCTGAATACCTAGATCCTGACCTGGCAGAAAAGAACCCCCCAATATTTGCTCAGAAACTTCAGGTTTGTAGCAGAAATATAAATGTCCTTTTTTTTCTGTTTGTCCATACACAGGCAAAGGAATGCTTTGCCTCATCTAAAAGGGGTGGAAGGAGGCTTGGAGGCGATGTGGAAAAGAATTAAAATAATTATTTAATTCTTTCCAAAGTAACTCTTCCCTTTCAAAGACTTGAGGAACTTTAACTCATGTAATTCATATCATCCATAACCTTAAATTTCATCAACACCTATCCTATGTACCTCTAATGTATGTATTTTCCAGAAGTCTTTTCAAAGCAAATTTTTTTAAGCTTGAGCACAGGACTTGATGTGTGGAGAGTTGTCTTGTCATCTGGCCTTAGTAAGTCTGTATGTATAGATTATTTTTTTGAGATTCAGGACCTAATTCTGCTGAAATGAAAATCAGGCTTTGTTTTTCTTGTAATTTCTCTAATGCAGAATTTGGCATGGTTTCTTCTAGGAAAAGCAAATGGATCTGCAGAGCAGTTCTGTATGTCAGGACATATTTTCTGGAATATTTACAGTGAAATTTTAAAAAAAGCAAAGGCTGAACTAAGATTGACATGTGGCATAAATTCACATAAAATGGAAATGAAAGGAGAGGAATCCGTGATAAAGATTTAGCTTCAGAAATCATTTCTTTTACATGAAGTGTTGTTCATACTGATCACCTAATAAGTAATATTTTTCTGCACAGCTACCTCAAAACTAATCAAGCCCTGGATTTTTGCATCACTGCCCTGACCATGAGAGGAATTTGGGGTGTTTGTCACCCAGGAATTATCTGAGTTACACGTTAAAATTTAACAACCCATTTTTGAGCGTGTCAGACATTTCTTACCATGTTCTTACCACATTTTTTTCCCTGTGGGGGACTCCCCCACCAAACCCTCGGACAGGAGGAGCTAGAGTTTGCTGCCATGAGGATAGAAGCTCTGAAGTTAGCCAGGCAGATTGCCCTCTCCTCCCTGCGCTCCAAGGTACCTGCTTTGTGCCTGCCCTGTGTGTGTGAGTGTGCACAGCCCGAGTGCTGCTTGTCCTGGGGGGACACCAGGAGCATGCTGGCAGCAGAGCTGACACAGAAATGCTGTCACCCCACTCACACCCCAATTAACAACAGGCAAGAAGCAGCAGCGTTCCTTCAGCAGGAGGTGGACTCTGCGGCCCAGGTGGTGTTTGTCGTTTCTCTGAAGCAAGATTTGTCCTAAAATGTTTGATGGTGAAGAATACCAGGCCTGCTTTGGCCATAAGGACATTCTGTCTTCTGATAGCATTTTCAGCTTGAAGTCAGACACCTTTGACCCTCAATGTTTGGAAGTGAAGAAATCAGTTGACCTTGCCCTCAGGCATCTGAAGAAAGGGACTGCAGCAGGGTTGGAAGGGCTGCAGAACTCGCAAGGAAAAAAGGCCTCACATCACAATGTGTCTTTATTCATAAAGATCTAAATCTTTTTTTTTTTCATTGCTACTTCCAGGTCCTGCTGGCTGGTTGTGCCTCACAGTGATGCTTTGCTCTGCTGTAGGGATGCACGTGGAACTCACTGTGTTTGGAAAGCCAAAATAGTCATTCCATAAATGTTGGTGGCTTTCTTGGAAAAGGCTATCAGCTGAATGGGATGGCAGTGTCCTGCTGCAGTGAGACATCTCATTCCAGTTGAGGACAATGTGCTACTGACATGCCCTTCTCCAGTAACCTTCCTCTTGTACTGTCCATTAATAGGTCAGCCCAAAGTCTTTGCCCAGTCCTAAATGGTCTGGAGTTCATTGCATCACAACAGCATTTGGAGCATTTGGGCTGGTTTCAGGGTAGAATTTCTTGGTGCTTTAAAGATCAGCTATTAAGTAGCTACTTCATAAAAGTAAAGATTTTTTTTTCAGGTTAACTGTACTCCTCTGGAAAAACAATGATTTATTTCACATACCTTTGATTTATTTCACATACCTTAAATAGCCCAGGAGCCACCTTGTTTCTCCTGTGCACATATATTTACTAAGGTAAACACATTCCTCACAGATTTAAAACTATTTTAGAGTATGTTGTTACAATCTTTTATTTAATTAAGAAAAACATGCTGTTGTCTTCATTAGAAGGACTAACCAAGCTGAAACCGTAATGAGGAACATAAAGAGCAAAGGAGGAAAAACAAAAAAAAATTTTCCTATATGTGACTTTGTCCCCTTGCTTTACTGTCCTGAGTGTCAGGTGTTGGAAGAGAATGAGCTGAGATCCTCTCTAGATGCTCTCTACCTCCTTATTCTCTCTCAAATTCCTTGTCCTCCCAACACTTTGCTGGAACATGAAGGATTCAGGACCTCCAGCATCAGGAAACACCTGAGATGAAACACATAATATTACATAGATGTTCTTCATGGGTTATACAGAAAACTTCTGCTTAAAATCTGCATTTCTGCAACCAGCCAGCTGTTCAGAAACTCACAAATTGTACTATTTTAGACTGAAGAGAATGCATTTGTGTGTTTGTGAATACTTGTGAGTTACCCAGGGGAGATTGTGCAGAAGTTTTACAGAATGTGGGGTTACATTTTAAAGATGCTGTTCAGCATCATCACAGCACCTTGTTTTGTTGAGACAAGTTTTGAACTCCTTAGAACTTAGAAATGGGGAAGAGATTTCATGTGACTTTTTAGAAAATGTCATTAATGTGTGTAACAAAAAAAACCAAAATGATAAGCAGAGGTGAGGAGAGAAAAACAGGCAAAACTCCCCCCTCTGACAGAGAACTGGCAGCAGTTTTTGAAGATGACAGTGCCCCATGTTGGTCCAGGCACAGCAATGCTTGTAGCCCAACACCATGGGTGTCATGTTAGGCTGGGAAGGACTTTTGTCCTTGTGTAGCTTTGCTATTTCAGTGTTAAATTAGCCTGTGATGACACCCCTTGTGACCTACAGTGACTGATGGCCTGGATTAAGTAGAACAGAAACCAGCAGATGACTGCAGTGACTTAAATTTGGATGCTCCTGGCAGAATTCCCTTCTGGATGGCTGGCCTCTGTTATTTTTTGAATGCTATCTAATTACATTTAACATTTGCTAAATGATGACTGGATGGGTAACAAGAATAGGATGATAAATAAAGACAGAAGCACTTGTTATGACAAATTAGATCACCTAAAATAAAGATTAAATATTAGCACTTTGTGCTAGCACTAGGAGTGAGAATAAGGATGTGCTGTTCTCAGGCACAGGAGAGTTATTTGGCCACTCCCAAATTTCTTGTCACAGACTTAAACAACAGCAGGACCAGTCATCTACTTTTACATTGCCAAGTATTTCTGTCTTCCAGTGTTGAGGTGAATTAACTCTTTTCTGTTGAACAGTCTCCATTTGGATCTTGTGAGGTAATTTTTTAAGTCCAGCACCTGTGGGTGCTGAGATAGAATCCAAAGAAAATAGAAACTGAAAGGCATGGGCAAAAATGGGATTAGTGCATTACAGCTTTGTGGGCCTCTCATGGTAGTGGAGAAGGATTATTTCCTTCAAGCAGCAATGCCATTGATTTTAGCAAAACTTTAGAGGCAGAAAACTTCTGCTTGGGTTTTCCTTGGCTTTCCATGTATTTGCAAGCACAAGTAGCTCTCACTTTGCCTGCACTGACCTGTCTGCTCACACATCAGTCAGGAGAGTCCATCATTCCATGCACACCCAGGCAGCATTTCAGGGGCTTGGAAAGGGCAGCCTCATTTTCAGCAGGGCTAAACACACATTTCTCTAACTGCTGTGATAAAAACTAGTTTTCGTTTTCTTTCCATTTCTCTATTTTCTTCCTCTCTGACCTCCTGGAAGTGAGATAACTGCAGCTGGTTAATAGATGTGCATTTGTTTCCCTTCTGGTCAGATATCTGGTCTCTGTGAAAGGTGCTGGGAAGAGAAGTGTGTTGAGCTCTCAAATATTTACACTAAGATTGCAGTGACCTACATTTTGTAGTAATTCCCCTGAAGACTCTAATCTTTCTGTGCGAGGTTTAGTGACTTACAAATCCCTGTGATGATTATTACCCCAATTAACTGCTTACCTTCTCAGCAATTAGATGTTAAAGCATTATTATTGGGTTATTTTGGGTAATACCATCATCCTGTTGGTCAGGTGCTGTTATTATCTCAGGGTAGGAATATTTTGCAGGCAGCAAATAACAGTTACTGAGTTATGCATCAGTTAGGAGCTCTGTAAAAATGACTTTTGCAGTAAAACCATGATGACTTTTACTGGTTACTCCTGCCAGAGACCCCAGCTGTGACTTGTGCAGGGTGTTTCCAGAGTTAGGGCAACACTGGCTGGACCACTGCTACAAGCATTTCTGCTCAGTGGTTAAATTCCAAGAGTTTTTATGGTCATTTTTTGGAAATTTCAAGCTATTCTGCATGTCATTATTGCTGTTGTTTTGTACAATTTCATCAAATGCAAAGAGAGCTAGAGAAATTAATGATCTGTTGTGCACTACATAAAAATACCTGTAAGTACATATTAAATGCTCTAAACATCTTTTTCTTTAAGAAATGTCATCCTCCCAGCAGTTACTTGGACATGTTTTTATATGAGCTTAAAAAACGTTTGTGTTTCTTCTTGGCACAATGAATATTTTCCAGCAATCTCTTGATGAGATCCAGCAAATTAAGCTGCAGGAGGCTTTTGAAATGTGACAGATGCAGTTCAACAGATCAATCTGAGGGGTGGCCTTTCTTTGGAGGACAGCTTTGATGATCTAATGGCTCTCTCTTATCTCTCAGTTATTCCTACTTTGTGATTAAGGAGATTTTTTTTTTTGTATTTCTGCATTTACAGAGGTGTCTGAGCTTGTATCCCAGGTGGATTTTTTTCCTATGTAGTTGTTTTACATTGGAAGATACTTTTAAGAGCACAGACTGTGCAGTTTTGACAGATCTAGGAATGGTTTTTCTTCTGGTAGGAAAATCCACCGAGTTTGAGCTTGCACCTCCTAATTCTGCTAGAATTGATCCTTATTTTGGATGTTCATGTTAAAGGTAGCAAAAACAGAGAAGGGATAGCCTGCTCCATAAATCCCAGAAGAGTCAATTGACTCCTAGGTGTAAAAACAAAAAATACCAAGTAAATTAGTGAGAGTCTCCTGTAAATGAAGATGCAGTGAGGTGTTCTGTAAGTACTGTTTAGGTTATTCTTGTTCTAATTCAATTTTCTTGCCTAGTCTTTTAATGTTGTTAGTGTTTCTTCATGTTCTTTACAGACGTGATATCCAGAACATCTGGTCCTGTGTGCATTGTGTACAATTTCTAATACAGCTTCTTCAGTCAGGTGTGATACAAGAACTCACAAGGGATTACAACAACATGAGCAGTGGGTTTGGATGCTTTCTGTGATGCTGGGCAGTGTGAGAAGAACTGTGAGGAATAGCATAACTGTTTTATGGAATAGCATCTGGCAAAGTTTCCTTTACCAGTGTTGAGACAAGAATATGTGATGTTGAAATTAATGAGGACTGAACCTTGATCCAGACATTATCTACTCCTTTCACATCCCTGTGCTTCAGTCACTAGAGCGTGACTCTGCTATTTTCTTCTAAAAAATACAAACAAAACAACTTAAACAAAACCACATCACCCTCTTTGACAATAAAATACAAGAAAAATAATTATTTTCTCTTTTTTGTAAAAAATAATTGAAATATTCTTGATTAGTAGTCTTAATTATTGCAGATAAAGCCTAAAGACTTAGCTACAGCATTAGTGAACCTGAATGAACAGAATACATTGTTTTATGCTCAAAGTTAACAGGTAAACTGGGAAAATACATTATCCCCTTTTCAGCAGCAAGGAAAACAGGATTTGAATATCCATTTCCATCAGTGAATGGAAAAAGGCATTGATCAACCTGACTTTCCTCCCTACTCATGGTCCAGCCCTTGTGGTGGGGGCTTGGCAGTGCCCAGAGCAGCTGAGGCTGCCCCTGGATCCCTGGCAGTGCCCAAGGCCAGGCTGGACAGGGCTTGGAGCAGCCTGGGATGGTGGAAGGTGTCCCTGCCATGGCAGGGGTGGCACTGGGTGGGATTTAAGGTCTCTTCCATCCCAAACCATTCTGGGTTCTGTGGACCATCCTTTGGAATCTCCTCAGTTTTAATGTGCTGTAGCTTGGGTTTTTTGCTTCGAGAGTTGTTTGTGAGACATCTCCTGCATCTCAGTGTCACGTTCCTGTTCTTTGCTCTCCTCATTTCACATGCTGCTCTCCCTTATTTAATCTGGGCTGCTGATATGAGCAAAATTGACAGCTGCAAAAAAAGCCTTATTTAACTGACTAATCGCATGCTGGACACCAGTGGCACAGCAGTGTCACCTGCATAGTCACACTTTTTCTGTGGTATTCTTTATGATAGATGCCATGTATTGACAGGCCAGACCTAAGAAAGTGAGCTGTCCTCTTGCTTCTGGTTTCTTGATTTATTTTAATGGACCATAACAAGCTTTCTGCCTTCAAATCTGATTCTTTCTGCTGATGTGCATTTCTTGTGGATGTTGTGGTGAAAAACAGTACCTTTTCTAAGATAAGACTTTAAAATATTGATAACAAAGTGCTGTCTTTATTTTCCCTCTGTAGAGGTAATATGACTCTCCTGGTGCTTCTTATGGATCTCAAATGTATATTTCATGATTGCTGAATTCAGAGCTCCTTGTTTGTGTTGTAATTTAAAGGTGCACAGAACTCTAGTCCTAGCACCACACCCAGAAAACCCATGAGCTAAACACCTATTTAATGGCTTGTTTCTTTGTATTTAAAAAACCAAACCCACAGAGAGAACCTGCTATCCCAGCAGATGTTTCCATCTCCAAAAGTGCTCTGTACTCCCGCATCGGCGCCTCAGATGCAGAAAGCACCACGGCTCTGCTCTACCCCCAGCAGGACCTGGACTCTGCACTACGGCTGGCCAGAGCAGAGGTAACAGTTTCCACAACTTGGGAAAGGAAAAACCTGCCCCTTGTTTTTCCCTTCTTGCCTGTTTTCTCCCAAATGCTTTATGTTGTTCTGTTCTTGTTTATGTTGTTCTGTTTTATGTCATTCTGTTCTTGGAACCATCCTCAGCCACGCTAAAGCAAAAGGTGCTACACTGCAAGTTTTACTTGTTTTACAGATGTGAAAAGCAGATATAATGTGAAAATAAATCTTTGTGGTATTAAACCTCAGGTGTACACTGTGCATCTTGACATTGCTATATAATTATATAAAAAGGGTAAGCTGCTTGAAATAGGAATAAAATGATGTATTTTACAAAGCTATGTGTCATATTAGTGTGGCTAACATTAGCAATGAATAAATGGGTATAATCCAGTGGGGTTTATTCCCTTTGTTTTCTGTTTCAGATTGTGGCCAAGGAAAGGGAAGTATCTGAGTGGAAAGAGAAATATGAAGAAAGCAGAAGGGAAGTGATGGAAATGAGGTGGGTTTTTAACTTGATTACTCTGTCAGAGAGCCTCATCTCAGCCTGACAACAGAGTACCATGCTCATACAATTGTTTTGCTTAGCTTTATTTTTAACTTAAGGCTTTGCACTGATCCTGAACTGATCCTTTGTCTTTTCTCTGTATGGTGGGCACCACTGTTCAGGGTAATCATTGAAAACTTCTGTGTTGCTAATCTCATTCACACCCTCAGAATACTGAGATATAAGGGAGGTTTTACTCCAGGTTAATGCCATGGAAGGATTTCCTCTGGTTGGTGTGTGAATTCTCACTAGGATTGCATGGTGAGGCTCTTGTTGCAGACAGGATGAGTTACCTGCAGAGTTACCTGCAGAGTTACCTGCCAGTTACCTGGCAGGGGGGTGCACCTTAAATGCACATTAAATTCACTCTCCATAAGTAGTTCTGCTTGGAAAAAGGAGGGGATGTAGGGAAGAACATGCAGGTTTGCAGTAGTACAGGCTGCCTCCAGGACATCATTGTAAGGTTGTTCAACAATAGAAATCAAGCCAGTGTCAGTAGAAAAGCATTTCTTGTAAAGGAACCACTCTGGACTATCAATGTTGGCTTTTAGGGAGATTCTACACCCTTTTCTTTGAACTAAGATGATTTTTTTAATTGCTGCACACACTAAGGTTGATTTAAGTTAAGCAATAGTTCTCTTGACTTTTGCTCTCTTGTTCCCTTTGAGAGCTGACAGAAGGACCCGGAGTTTTCAGTTTGTTCTGGTTGTATCTGTTCTATTTCTGTTCCATCCTGCCTCTGGTACATTAAATATCTGTACACTGGAACATGGTTTGACCCCCCCTTCCAGCCCAGGTCCTTCCTCTTGCGAGGATGACAACAAATTCCCTGTAGTGGATGATGTGAGCAGTGCTGCTCAAAGAAGCACTGAAGCCTTCCATTCAGCCAGTTGAAAAACCTTTCAAGCTTTCAGCTTTTTTTTTTTTTTTTTCAGTTGGTAGGACCATAAGGAGGACAAAACAATGAGCCTGGCTTGCTCATTGATCTGAATCTGAGAAAGCCATCAATTGCAAAAGAGAGTGTACAAAATACTTCATGGAGTCTTTAAAGCTTATTATTTTCTACCTTCAAAAACCAGAAAAAAATGGTCCCCCCTCTTAACTCATAAAGAAAAGGAGACTGTCACGTTATTTTAGCATCCCTCCTTTAAGTAATAATTTATACAAATAGCTTCTGAGACTATATTTTCTTTAAAATCCCCTCTGTTCTAGCACCAACTTCTTCCCAAAATGAAGAGTTTCAGTGATTTAAAGCTAAACTCTCTATCTAGTGATGACCTACATAAGCAATCACTTATATCCAGGAAAACTGTGCTTAGGGAGGGAGAGTAGAAGGGAGCTGCAGTGCAGAGCTCCACAAACGCTTACATGGATGCCAGGAATTGCACATGGCAGATTGGAATAGCAGCAGCACGGGGCTCTGAGCCAAAGCATCTTAAGAGAAGCATCTGCAAAAGGCAAGGGCAGCCTCTTTATTTCTTTTTTGCCACCTCCCAGTGCCCAGCTGAGTTCTCTCACCTCCCTTGTGCTCTGCTGGGATGGGGAACAAAGCCCTGGCATAGCCCTGAAATGCTTAATGAGGAGCAACAGAACAGAGTGGCTGTGAGCAGTCAAACCCAGGGAGCCAAACAAGGAGGGAACAAAATGAGGGATTGTGAGGAATGTCTCAGTGTGCAGCTCACACTCAAGTGTGGGGCTTGGTCTGTTCTGTGTCGGGGTGCACGTGTCTGCTGGCTGCCAGTGGGCACTGCCAGCCTTTTCCCTGATGGAGGGAGAGCCAGGGGTGACACAGAGCAGCTGGCACACTGTGGTTCTGCACCTTCATCTTCCACACAGGAATTTGCTTGTGTGTGTCTCCACCCTCCAGAAAATCTGATTAAAAAAAAAAAAAAACCCACAATAACCAAGCCAGATTTCCCACAGGCACATGCCTGGAACGTGTGGATGAAAGGAAAAAATCTGGCTAATATTGTCACAAAATGATAAATACACATATGTGCACCAAGATAAGATTTCTCTTGGAAGTTGAAATGTTCAAGCAGTCCATGTGTGGTAAATTAGAGATGCAGCAATGAGATATGACATAATGATAAGCAGGGAGTGAAGGGATTATTTAGAGCTGCAAGCACAAAAGCATCACTTCCCAGAGAAGGAGAAGCAATGCTCCTGTACCCATGTCCTGCATAGTGTAGCTGGAACATCCTGAATTCATCTAAATTACCAGGAAAAGATCATTTGGAGGAAATTCCACTCCAGAGAACAGAAGCCAGAATGAGAGGTTTAATAATGCAGTAGCTATCAAAGAGCTGAACCACAGTGGGCTATACCATGATCCAAGAGTCTAACTGGAGGCAGGCAAGAAATACTTAATTATGGTTTTTTGGAGGTCTGATTGATTATGACTCTGTAAGGGGAGTCAAGCAGATGACCTCTGAGGCCCTTTGTAGCCTTAGATTCTGGTGGTTTTATGCCTTACAAATGTGCAGTCAGTGAATAGACTGAGTGTCTCAAATAGCAGCATTTAAGCCTGTGTAATGTGTCAGCCTGGGGTTAAGATGTGCCCTCCCCAAGAGGGATGATGTGGCAGCATCCTTTGGTTCCCCAGCTGTAATGACCATTATTTAGGCTCCTGGACTGAAAGAGGCCTTTGACATGAATCTGGAGCAAATCCTTCCCTGGGAAGTGCTGCAGTGTTGTAATGTTGTGTTCCTTACCCTGAGTACCCTGAGTCCTTGGCTTCCTCTTCTTGGATGCTAAAACTTCCCAAAGGTGCCTTGTGTCACAAGGACATGACAAAGCTTTAGAATCCTCATTGCTTACTGCAGGCTTTTGAGGTAATCTGCTTTGGACATGAGACCAAACCCTTCCTTTTAGGGCAAAATCCTTGCTGTGATCTTTGCTCTCCAAAGCATTGTTTATGGTTGAAAGGAAAAATCCCAGTGCTGGGGTTAGAGCCCCTGCTCTCTGAGTGCTCTGCAGGACCAGGGCAGGGGAGATGCTGCTGACTTTAAGGCCAGGTGGCCTTCTCAGGGCTCTGGGCTCTGTCTGTGATTCAGATTTGAGGCAGTTCTGGAGTTACTGTAGTAGTTTTTTGGGAGCTCTGCAAGTTTCTCCTTTCCTTACTGACTTTTATTCCCACATCCTTTCTGTAACCTCACCAACTGCAGCAGAGCTCTGAAAATGGAGCAAGTGAAAGTGAGTTTCAAAAGAGGTGTACTCCAACTCCAGTGAGCTGTTTGGAATATCCACTTCTGATGAAGTGTGGGGTAATTTTGTTTTTTGTAGACGGTCCTGCGTGGCTCATGAATCAAAGCACAGATCAAGCTAGTCTCATTTCATTAGCTTTATTTGGCTCTGGGAAGGGATGGATCATCTTTCTAAATCACATTTAATCTGCTTATTTTGGCTAACCTCTTTTCAAGAAGGAAATTCAAAGCCTGCCGAGAGTATACGAAATAAAACGGTCTTAAAAGTAGAATTTTGCCACCTCTGCTTCAAAAACAGATTTGGGAAATGGGACATGATGGATTTTGTGCTACATAGTTGAATAATTTGATCTTGTTCTTTTAAGTGGTAGTGAATCATTTAATCATGAAAAGATTCATTTAGAAGATGAGATACAGTTTGGATGATAGCCAACACTACTGTTAGGTTTACTTGATGCCAATTATAAGTTTACTTGAAGTTTATATTAAAAAGAAACCAACACAAATTTGGAGAAGAGGGGAGAAAGCAATGGGAAAACCAGGGTCTTCGTAATACTTGAGTTAGGCCAGTGTGATTATGTTTATAATCATGATGGGTGATGTTTCAAAAAACAGAATCTGTTTCAAAGCAATCTCTTCTTCCTCCCCTCACCTTTACTGATTCCCATGGAGAGTTAAAAATCAGGTGCAGTGTTAAAATTCTCAGTTTTATTTGTTATTTGGGCAATAAAGAACATATAAAAATGTGTTGGGGTTCTGTATCTCTTAAAAGCACCACAGTTCAGTTTATGATAGTGTTATTTGCTAAGTAAGCATGAGCAATGATGTTGTTTGCCAAAAGTTTTTCTTTTTTTGTTTTCCCTCTTACAGAAAAATAGTTTCGGAATATGAGAAGACGATTGCTCAGATGATAGGTAGGTGTTCCTGCTGTGAAAGATGCTCCCTGGTTGAAGTCTGTGGGCTTCATTTTGATGCTGGCTGCATCTGCTGATGCTGCAGGGAATTGTGAATGCATCTGAGGACACCAGAAAAGGAAAAGTCAGGGCCTCGTCTCATAGCCAGCAGCCCCCGGGCAGTTCAGGTAACACAGAAAGCTCAGGGCTTTCCCTTCTGCAGCAGAGCCCATAGGAAACAGGTTCAAATTCATGGGTTTCTCCAGGAGAGACTTTCAGTGACCTAAAAACCCCTTAGGCATCAGCTCACAGCTGTTTAAAGGCAGATCCCAAAGTTAGCTCTTCACAGCAACAGGGATTATCTGTGCTAAGTGCATCGATCAGACGAAAACCAAGATTAACTCCAATCCCAGCTGGGACTTTACAAGTGCCCAATCCTCCACCCCCCCAGTTACTTACTGACACAGGGGTCTCCTTTCAAGTCTAAATTGTGACAAGCTTTGCCTCTCAGTAATTAAAAAACACCTTTGCTAACAGCATGTCTCACAGATAAAAACCTCTGCCTTCAGTAGCACTTCAAACCCTAAGGTTGCAGGGCTTGTGTGGTTCCTCAGCACGTGAGGTCTTGCCCCTGGGATGTGATTTTAAAGCCTCCTCTAAGATTTCCAAAGCTCTTTTTATTAGTCTGGCTATAGCAGGCACTAGCACAAATGGCTGAGTGGAATTTTGGGATCTCCAAGGCCAGAGTTGCTCAGAAGAGCACCAGTGTCTGGTGCTTTTGCTGCCTTCCTGGATTTCTTGGCCATTGGGAGGCATCCCAGCCTCATTTCAAGTGAAGGGTAAAATGGACCTACAAATAAATTTTGTGAGAATGACAACTATAATAAATAAATCAATGAAATATATATAATAAGGAATAAAAAACACTAATAAGAGGCCAGGCTTTATTCTCTCTGGTATTATGCCTCCATTGCCTTTTGTATGCACAACTGAGCCAGTGTGCTGCCTTCTGACATGGTGTGTGTCATTGTCATCATGCAAGTGTTCAAGCAGGAGTGACCAGAGTATGCAAAGAACTTATTTCATTTTGGTTTACATACCCTGGTGTGGCTTCCAGTCTGAACCTGGCCAGTCCTACAGACACACAAAAGACCTGTCCTTTCTTCCCCAAGCTATGTGTACAGTAAACAATAGATAAATTTGCATTCTATTTTTGAGGAACAGATTTTTTTAAAAATCAGATTTTGAGACTGCAGTGCAACAGTAAGATACAGAATAGGAATCCTGGGGCAGAGGCACAGCCTTGGTGTACATGGTGCATTCCACCATTGCCACTTCCTCTTGTTGCAAAGAAGTGAAGGTTCAGTAAGTACTGGGCCATTGACTATGAGTAAATAGATCTTTAAACTTCAGATTCAGAGTATCAGAACCTCTCAGATGCTCTGTGGTGAGTATTTAAGGGCTAAGGCTATAAGTAATTTAATTTGCTGTCCATTTGCAAAGGAACTGAACCAACAACAGCTACACAGAAAACATCCTTTCTGTGTTCATTAGAGCAGTATGCAAATCCTACAGCATGGTAATACGTTAAATGTGAGGCTTCTCCCTGCATTTAATGTAAATTTTGGATCTAATTGTCCCACTTTGTCATGCCATTTCTTGTAAATTGCTGTCCCTTCCGATAAAGGAGTTCACTCATCCGAATGCCACATGTGGAGGAAAAATGTGTGTTTGTTATTTGCATGTACTTCAGTGACCTGTTAGTGATGCCTCAGTGCTGAAGCAGAATATGCATCTTAACAAAAGAAATGCCTGTGCTGTTTCTGTTCATCATTTAACCCTTCTGAACTATTTATACAGCCCTGTTAGAAGGGCACTGCACATAAACCAATTTCACCAATCCCTTTGATGAATATTCAGTGAGGTTGATAGGTCCTGCTGAGCTTTTTGTAGGCTGGTGTGTGCATAATGAATACTGAAAATGTCCCATATTAACAATATATGACTGCCCATGTTTGCTTCTAAAGGCCCTGAAAAATGTGCATTGCAAACAGCAATTGCCTTTGATTCCAAGGGCTGTGGAAGGTTCAGTATTTGCTGTCACACATACATGGAACTCAAAATTACCCAGCTTAGCTGCTGTGATTACTTCATGCCACACTGTGCAAGCTGCCAGTGTGGAGATCCCTGTTTAGTGTCGCTTGGTGTATCTTTTTACTTGTGCTTTTATCTTTTTTTCCCTTTTTTTTCCTTACACTTGCCTCAACTCCTAACACATTTTAGTTTACTCTGAGGAGTGGGGAGAGGACAGACCAGGCTTTCCAGGCTGTGCTGCTGCTTTGTGCTTGGTGCTGTTTGCTCTGACAGCCAGGGAGCAGAGCCCGGGTGACCCCAATGTTCCTGCACCCTCCACACACCTGGCTCACAGCCAAAATCCCCACCCCAATTCCTTTTCACTGACAGCTTTCTAATGTTGATTTGTTGGTCTTTTTTTTCCTGTTAAAAATGTATCCTTATTTTTACATTTGAATACATGATGAGATTTATGAGATTTTACATTATGAGATTTTACATTATGAGATTTTACATTATGAGATTTTTTTTATTACTTTACATTTGAATAGCTGATGAGATTCTCCTTGTGAAAAACAAACAGTTGTTATGCTTTGTGCATTACAGGTTGTTGCATTACTTATTTGCTGCTTTCCTAACAATTCCCGATTTTTCTATTTTGCTTCCGTTTTCGTTGCTTCTTGCTATTTGCTTGCAAAAACAAAACAGGCAAGCCTGGTAAGTAAAGCTTTACACCAACTTTCACACCAGCATTTTGCATCTTTAGTTTCTTTTGCTTTTGTTCTCTGTTTGCTGCATTCCCATTAAGTCGTGTGAGTAGTAGTGAGCTGAGCCTGAAAGCGGATCTGCCGTGGTGCTGCTCTGATTCTGTCAATTTGGGTAGTGTTAGTCCTGAGCATACTGCTGTGATTGTTGGTGAGCCCTGGGCAGGGTGTGTTGCAGATGTGGAAGTTATTTAATTCAAATATTTTGATCACATAACTTCGTAAACATATTTAGAATTAAGGATGTGTAGCGAATTGTCTAAGATTTGACTGGCAGACTATTACCAGCACATTTTATTGAAACTAAATCATAGTCTTAGAAAATAGAAGGTCCTTTCCAACCCAAACCATTCTGTGATTCTATGAAAACATCACATAAAACTCTAGTCTCCCTCCAGCCAGGTTTCTGCCTTTTGTTGTATTTAACCACTTTGGTTTGGGAGCATCACTTGGACGTTCCTTGGAGCAGCCTGGAGCAGTGGGAGGTGTCCCTGCCCATGGCAGGGGAATGGAACTAAATGAGCTTTAAGGGACCCAAACCATTCTGGGATTCTGTAACATTTGCCCTGGTTTCCCATGAGTGAGTTTAAATGGTGCTGGGGGTTGAGTGTTGGAGGAGCTGATCCAGCTGAGGAGAGAGGAGGGCCCACGATGGGGAGGGAGGAAGAGGAGGAGCTCAGTAGCTGTGAGGGAGTGTGACATGAATTATTAACTTCCTGATCACCCTGGAACCAAGTAAGGAAGTGGCTAAAATACCTCAGACAAAAGTCTCAGAAAAAGTAGGGATGTGATATTAAGTACATTACAATATTTTGGATGAGGATGCAAACGGATCTCTTGCCCATGGACTTACAGTGACAGAAGTGTTGCCAGAGAACAGGATCCTGCCAGGAAAGGGTTTGGAATTATCTGGGCAGGGTGTAATCTCCAGCACAATTAAACGAATCTATTGCTGGAACACAAGGAAACAGCCTCTGAGCTTTAGAAAAATAAACAAAAGACAACAATTTCGTTTGTTTTAATTGAGAACACATTAATTTTGACATTGCAGAGGAATACAGGGTGTCTCTAAGAAAGCAAAAGAGAAAAGAATGTTTCTTTTTAATAAAGTGTTAAATATATCCAAGTGATGTTGTGTTACACAACTGGGCTTCTCTGCCACGTCAAAGGCATTTGTTCACCAATAAAATAAAGGTGTTAACAAGCAGGTCCTGAGAACTTTCATCTTCTGTATCACACAGAGCAAAAAAAGCTCAAGTCAGGCTCTGCCCCAGCCAGGTGCTGTCAGAGGTGAGCAGAGGAGCCCAGGAGCTGCTGCACAGTGTGGCATCATCTCTGCTCTAGCCTTGGTCAGGCCAACAAAAATGTTTATTTTTTGGATGGAGTATGCAAGAGGAAGAGATGAATCTCAGTTTGGGAAGTGACAGTATCAGCTTTGGCATTTTGGAGCTGACCACCACTATAAATAATTCAGATGAAATCTTCTATTCAAATAAAAACATCAAACTTGTTTAGTTCTTTATGTTTCCAAATAGAAAGGCCCAAATGAAAAGTTGTACGTTGTGAAATGCCCCATGCTTTTTCCACAGAACTTTTTACCTTACTTTAATTTCTGTCATAAACCAAGGAAAATGGTAATATGAAACTGTTGTGTTTTGTGGGTGGGTTTTCCTTTCAGTATCATGCAAAGTACCCCTTAAAACATGGGCACAAGAATCATAGTTTAGGATGTGAAGGAAACAATGCAGCATTTTGGAAGACAATGCCAGACCTTTTCTTCCAGTGTTACGTGGATATTCCAACTTATTATGAGGTCAATTCCCTTGAAAATTCCTCCTCCATATGGATTTGTATTCCTGTTATGTTCTTCCCACCACCCCTGGCTCAAATTTAACTATACACAGGAGGAGCTTGGCAGATGTTTTTTGCAGTTTTTTTACACTTAGGAAGTCTGTCTGATGTTAGATTTCCTTTCTGCTACTTGCTCCAGCAATCCTGAGAGCTGGTAAAACACTGCTTTTCCAAGGGAAGAATTGAATTGCACTGACCAAAGTGCCTTGTTTGTGCAGGATTAGAAGGTGCCAGGAGGTGACAGGCATTTATCAACAGTGGCAGATAACTCGTGGCCAGTGCTAGGCATGTGCATAAATGTCCTTTCCTTCAGCTAGTGCATCTTCAGGGGAAATCCAACACCTGCCTTTTCATGGGAACAGCTGAGTTCAGAGTGAAGAAATCATCAGTACAGAGATACATTCACATTTTCCCCCAACATCAAAATATTTAAATATCACTGTATTTAGCAACTGTTTTCCAAAACAGGCTCGTGTCTTTATATAAATCTGACTTTTCTGGATCCTGTAAACTTACTAATACACAAATAGGGCAGAGTATAGTAGAAACTGTAGATGATAGTGAGCTCAGTGGACTTACTCCTGTTACCCTGCTGAAAATCTCTCTTTTCTCTACTCCTCTCTTCTTTCAGAGGATGAGCAGAGAGAGAAATCTGTCTCCCACCACACTGTTCAGCAGCTCATAGTGGAGAAGGAGCAAGCTCTGGCCGATCTGAACTCAGTGGAGAAATCCCTGGCAGATCTTTTCAGGAGATATGAGAAGATGAAAGAAGTCCTGGAGGGGTTTCGGAAGGTCAGTCACCTTAACATCTCCTTTAAAGAACAGAGCTGGGCAGATTCTGTGGACCACAATGTGCTGTGCTGCTGAGCAGAAGGCAGGACTGGTGTTTCCAGCTGATGCTGATGTTCTGCATGCCAAACCATAGTCCTCAGGTGAAGGATTGCAGCCAGCTATCAAATGCAAACAGAAAAATTGTAAATCTCTTTACATTGTGTAATACTCTTTTTCAGGGGGTGTCAGTGTTGGACTGCAGCCCTTCAAACAGCTGTGTGTGACTCCCACAAACAGGTGCCTGTCCTGCATTTTAACCTCTTGGTTTAAATTTGATGTCATCTTCTCTTTTAAGAATGAAGAAGTGTTGAAGAAATGTGCGCAGGAATATTTGTCACGAGTGAAGAAGGAGGAGCAGAGGTACCAGGCACTCAAAATTCATGCTGAGGAAAAACTGGACAGGTAATCCAGTCATGGATTCACAGAATGATTTGGGTTAGAAGGGATCCTAAAACCATCTTGTTCCACCCCCTCCCATGGGCAGGGACACCTTCCACTGGACCAAGTTGCTCCAAGCCCTGTCCATGCTGGCCTTGGACACTTCCAGGGCTGGTGCATGGACTGTACACATTTTTCGGGAGTTCATGCTGCAGAAAGATTCCCATGGCTGGACCTCACATCCCAAACTGATCCTGCAATATGCAAAGCACAGGCTGCTCTGTGATAGAGGTGGAAAGAAATGCAATAATGAGAATTTCTGCAATGTGCTTGTGTTTCTTCCAGCTCCTGACCCTACAGAACCCCTTAAAATTTCTATATTTAGGTAATGTCTTCTTTATACTTGTTAATGTATTTTCATGGGAGGATCAAGAAAGAAGCCATTAGCCAGTTCCTTTTTTCTAGATCTCCACATAATGACCAATTAAGCCTTTCTGGGGATCATGTTCAGGACTCATAGTACAGTCCCCTGAACTGGAGATTAGGTTTGGAAACTGCCATAAAACACTTCCACCTGAGTCATATTTGTGACCTCAGCAGAGATGTCTGAGAGAAGCACAAAGGGAGCAACACAGACAGTAAGAAAAGGCTCTGCAGCCCCTGCTGAGCAAGAGAGGGATTTGTGAAAAGCATTTAGGGACAGGTCTCACAACATACCCAGGATGTTGTGTGGAAGGCAGCCCTGCCCTCTCCCCCCATTTGTTCAGGTGCTGTCCACCCTGGGGCACCCTCTTCTCTTTCCTGTGGAGATCCTGATGTGACCAAACCCTGTGTGTTTTGCAGAGCCAATGCTGAAATTGCACAAGTGAGAGGCAAGGCCCAGCAGGAGCAGGCAGCGTACCAGGCCAGCCTTCGCAAGGAGCAGCTCAAAGTGGATGCCTTGGAGAGAACACTGGAACAAAAGGTAAATAAACCAGGAGCCAAGCTCTGCCTGAGGATTGTCCTGCAGCCCACTGGCCTTGGGGACAGCAGCACTCCCCAAATTTTAAGGCAAAACCCCTGTGTGCCCCAGCTGGACCCAGGTTTGGTCTGAGCCCAAGTGTTTGGGGCTGGCTCAGCCTTGGGCAGAGCTCAGGGTGCACCTCTGCAGCCCAGGCCTTGGCTTGCTTCAGTTCTCAGGTTTTTCTCTCAGGTTCTGTTTCCCTTTTTAGTGCTAGCTGTAATTCCAATGCTAATTCCAAAGTGTCTGTAGGAAATGCCTATTTATATCTCTAGCTCAGCCAAGGGAGCTTGCTTTGGCACAGAACAGCTCGTCCTTGCTTGCAGCTCTGCAAGGCAGGGTGAAAATAATGAAAAAAAAATAGAAAAGTGCAGCCTAGAAACAAATTTCCACTCTGTATTGTTGTGGAGTGCTGGGAATGACTGCTGTGAAGCTGTCTGCTTTGGTGCTAAATTTGATTTATTCAAACTGGAGGAGCTGTTTTTGGAAGAAAGGAAGCATTTGTTTGAATGCATGTAGCTGTACTATGAATATGAACACTTAGTTGTACTATATATGCACATATATCTGTATGTATAGATCTTCTGTTCTCAGCATTAGAGAAAAGTTAATTTTCCCACACCTTTCTCACTAGTTAGATAACATTAAAATTAAAAATCCCTCCTCATCTTAATGCAACAATCCTTTTCATAATACTTCGTATTTTATTTTCCAGAATAAAGAGATAGAAGAATTAACAAAGATTTGTGATGAACTGATTGCCAAAATGGGGAAAAGCTAACTTTTAACCAAATTTCTGGACTTCGATACTGAGTGCAATATGACCATTGGCACACTGATGTCCATGCATTTATGTGGACAGGTTATATTTTCACTTTTTCGTATGCACTACTGTATTTTCTTTCTAAATAAAGTTGATTTAATTGTATGCAGTACTAAGATGACTATCAGAATTTCTTGCTATTGTTTGCATTTTCATAGTATAATTCATAGCAAGTTGATCTCAAAGTTCCTGTATCAGGGAGATTGTCAAGTTCTCTAAGAAAATACAAATTGCTGATCCTAGCCTTCCCTTTGTACATGAGTTCCCATGTTGGATGTCTTTTGGATTTAATATAAACATGTATTACTTGCATGGGGACTCTTGCCTTAAGGAATGTAAACTTTATCTGCATTTGCTGATTTGTAAAATAAAATCTAAAAAAAAAAAAAAAAAGAAAGGAAAATGCATGTCACAAATGAAATTCTCTATTGTAAATAAATTTTTTCGTTGAAAGTTGAAGATAAGTATGGCTCTCTTCTCTTTTGTGTCCTTCACTTGCTACTTGCTTATTTCAGCACCAGATGCTCTTGGGAATTAATTCCTCCACAGAAAGCACTTCATGGGTCACTGCTTGGAGCACTTTGTGGGTCACAAGAGTCTGCTGCTTATGTGCACATATCTAGGTCTATATCTTAATGTCTCTCTAAATATATATATATATATATGTGTGTCTATGTGTTGGATTTGGACCACTCAAGTCTCAAGCATAGGCTTAATCCTCCAAAATATTTAATGCTCTGACCCTGATCCAGCAAATCCCATGGGCAAATGTAATGAGGCTGTTGGAGGAGTCAGAGGCTGTGCCATGTGGTGACAGGATGGTTTTTAAGCATGTCTGGCACTGAAACGTGAATAATTTCCTGCTCCTGGAAGAATTTGCCTGCAGGGCTGGTGGAGCTGAGGTTGGTGTGATCAGAGGTGCAACCAGAATAGGCTCCATAAGTAGCACTCTTGAACACCTCTTTATCCTGTAAGTTATCCTCTGCACAGGATTAGGGATGGAGGAGAAGCATTAAGGCTCTAATAGCAAACAAACTGCTTTCTTTGCCTAATGGTGCATCTCTTGGATCTCCATGATGTGGACAGTCTTCAGCCTGCTTCTTGTCAGCTCCCTTTTGGTCCTCAAAAGTAAGTCAGCTCCTTTTTCTTTCCTTTTTTTACTTCATTTGCATTCCCTACCTCAAGCATGGCTGAGCCTCTTTGCTGTTCTGGGCTCCTCTCCTGGGCTGGGTTGGTTTCAGATCGTTTTGTGTGTGTGGTTAGCAGCACAGAATTGCACCTCTGTAAAGGTAAATGTGTTTGCTAACAGATTCAAATGTCCCCACTGATAGCAAGGGTGGGATTTCTGCTCTGCAAGCTTCAAATGTGGTGTTTGAAATATCTTCATAGCTCATGCTTGCCTTCCTTTGAAAATGCCATTTAGTTTGAGGCAAGAAAGAGGATTGAGGTATAGTTGTGGTGTTTAAACAAGAGCAAAACTCAAGATACATTGCTGTGCTTTCCAGCTGAATTGGTACTTCAGGAGAAGAGGAAAATTGGATCATTGTAAGATTTTATGTGTATACAATGGGCTTTCTCATGGTACTGTGGACCAAAGATCATGATGGAGGGGGAAAGAAACAACATTTGGGCTCTGCTCTGAAAACATTACAAGAAGATATGGATGCAGTTACAGAACATCAAATGTTTCTTGTATTATTTTAAGTGCAGATTATAACAACTAAGTAATCTGTGGTTGATGTTTTTTATTTTTTTAATCAATATTTGACCCATTTCTAAAAAAATAAACATTGAAAAGATATGCGGACTCTTTGGATTTTCCAAAGCTTTTTTTTTTTCATTTTTTAATGTGTGCTCGAAACCATACTAGAAAGATTGATATTTTTAAATACTTCTCGTAAATTCTAAGTGGTCTCTTCTCCCTCCACCCAGGTGAAGCACTGCAGTGTTACACCTGTGTAGGTTCTAGTGATGATGACTGCAACAGACAAGGAAGTCAGCAGTGCCCAGGCCATGCAGATGCCTGTGCAGTCATTAGAGGACAAGCAAGTAAGTGTCACAAATGTGTCAGACCTGTTGCATTTGTCACAAGAAAGAAAGAAATAATCAGTGTTGGAAAGAGAAGAGTGCTGAGTAAGTTAAGGAGAAAACCAAAATTAGATGTCTCCTCTTAAAATAAACCCCATTAATGAATCTCAGTCCTAGTTTTGTTGTCACAAAATCCCCCAGGGAATGATTTGTCAGTGTGCCACAATGAGCTGCACCCACTCTGTGGGAAAGCTAAAAAGAAGCATTTTAACTATTGCCCACTTTTTGCTTGAGTGACTTAGCTGGAAATTAGGATGGAACAGAAGCTAATGAGCCCCTGCACTTGGGCACAGGTATTTTAGCTGCACCAGTTGCCTCTGAGATAAATCAGAGTTATTTTAGTGGGAGCTGTGGGTGCGCTGCCTTGTTGAGGTCGTACTCATTTTCCTGTGATGAGCAGCCAAACCCGAGGCTGTTGCTCAGCGCTGGGGGGTCAGGCTGGTGCTGGGGGGGTGCAGGTGGGAGCAGGGGGCCCTTTGCAGCCCCTCTGGGCTCACTGTGGCTCTGTTGCAGGTGGCATCATGAAGTCCTGCTCGTTCAGGTCCTTCTGCGAGCGGGCGAGGCGCGACGGATCGAGGGCGCCCGGGGTGAGCGTGCACTGCTGCTACTCCAACAACTGCAATGCCAGGAGCCTGGCTCCCAGGGTCACCAGCTCCTGCAGCCTCCCCCTCCTCATCCTCACTCTGCTCTGGCACCCCTTGTTGAAGCTGACATGAGGGGCAAAATGAAAACAAAAAGTATCCTCAAGCAACAACTCTGCCTTCTTAGCAAGGGGTGATAATATTTGCTAATCATGTTGCTCCATGTACCGTTTATCTCACTAGGCAAAAAGCTGTAGGAAGACCTGACAGATGTTTAGATAAAAATTGTTTCATCTGCTAAATAGGTCTTGATCTCTGTGTAAGGAATGCTGCCCTGTTGCTTATTTTCCTGCAATTTGGATAAGGAGAAATCTTGGCTGCAGGTAACCTGGTAGTGAGGTCAAGGGCAAATGGCTGCCAAATGCTTTTTGCTGTTGGCAGATATTCAAAAGCAAGCTAAAATTTTCAAGCACAAAGTGACTGAAAATTCTAGCAAACAAGTTAATCTTTCAGAGCATATTGGCATGCTGGACAAAAGAAAACTTGAAATACAGATGATTTAGTATTAATACAAATTGGTAAGAGAAGGTGATTAAGAGAATAATGCATGGAGGTATATTCTGTTGTATATGATATGTTCCTGACAGGGGGGCTGGAACTGGATGGTCTTTAAGGTCCCTTCCAACCCAAACCATTCAATGGTTCTCTATGCTTGTGTGTGTATTTCCTTGGAAAAAACACCTTCCAGTCTTCTCTTTTCTGATCCTTTGAGAATTTTGCCACAGCATCAGAAGAAGAAGAAAAAAAGAGTTTGGAAGTTGTTTTTGAACTGGTACTCCATCCAAAGATTGGCTCAATCTATCTCCCCTGCTGGTTTTAAAAACAAGTGATTAATCTCTGTCTTGTAGGCAAATTATAACTTAAGTTTATAATTCTTGAGGCTTCAGTTATGTAAATAATTCTCCACTGCCCTAAACTGCAGTCTTTGAGATTAAGAGTGTATATATCTGTACAGGTCTCCTCCTTCAGTGATGTGGTGGAGTTGAGGTGGTTTATCTATCTTTTCATTTTACAAAGTGAATGAAATTACTTGGAGGTCTTTAGAGGTGTAAAGAGGGACTAAATCAATATTTTTAATAAACCCATTCCTGGCAGTTTTACCAAGTAAATGATCCAGAAGGGGTCACATAGTAGAAGGCATTGTGCATCACTACCTCCTTTGATCCAAAACTCAGAGCACCAGGCAAGCAGATGAGTGAAATTTGTAGATTTTAATGTCCAGCTGTGATGATCTGGTCCAACCCCTGGCACACAACATGCACAGGACTGGCTGAAAGTCCAGCTGGTGTAACTGAAGTAGAGGTGGTCCTTCCAGTTCTAGTTTTAGTTGCCTAGTAGGAAAAAGGTTAGGTAATGAAATTTATGGAACTCACAAAACACGTGGCAAAGTAGTTTTTCCTCTAGCTTTGTGCTGTGACTTTTTTTCAGTACAATTCTTTGAAAAATCAGCTCTGGGCAGTGTGTAGTAGAATTCTTCACATTGACCAAAATTTTATTCAGGTTGCAAACTCTAGAGCTGCTGCAAAGGTCAATGAGTGAGCCCTCCCTGCAGAGTGTAACCCTTGCCTGCCTTGTAGCTGTCACAGGGGCTGAGCTGTCTCCTTGTTTGTCTGTGCTCTTTCCCAGTGTGGATCCTTCCATCATCTCATGTAGGTTGTGGCTTCAGACTGGCTGGATTCTCCTGGGTTTTGTTCAGGTGGGCTCAGACAAGGCAGCTTGGTCTATTTTTAGTCTCTAGGCACCACTCTGATAAAGCTGTTAAATATAAAGATTGCAACATTGCAGCAGATCTTGGCTGAGAATGTTAATTTGGACTCCAGTGTCTCATTTGTATAAAAAATCATTTAAATTGGTGTAAGTATTTTTCATTTCATTCTCAGCTTGAAGCAGTTCCTTCAATCTCTTCTGCTACAGGAAGCAGGTATTGATTGTATCTTTATCTTTGTATGGTTCTGTGATGATAAATCTGTATTGAATGTAATCTCTGTATGTGCTCAGTGCATTTCCTTAATGAGAAAATAAATTACATGCAATGGCTGACATTGTCTCTTGGTAAACACAACTGCTTCTTTTAATTGGGATTTCCAGCTGCATCTGGTGCTTTGTTTCCCTGCAGGAATCCTGTTGGGTTTTGTTGTTTTTTGTTGGTTTTTTTTAATGTGGGATATATTTCTTAAATCTGTTGGATAAAATAGTGGATGTTGGTAGTGTTCTTGCTGCTATATTTCCATGGTAAAGTAAGAAGGTAAATCTCTATCCTCTTGACAAACACCATCTGTCATTCCTGACAGCAGCCAGGACTGGGATCTTCAGGCAGCTCCCAACGCCTCCAGCCACTCCTGCCTCCCAGCTCATCATGGGCCCTGCTTTGCTTTTTACAGCAAAAAAAGGACATTTTTCCTGCCCAATTATGACCCTGAAGTGTCTGCATGTGGATATCTAGGAGGGATGAGCAACTTTTGTGGATTGGTGTTCTCAGAGCGGTTTTGTGATGGTTTTTGGCAAGAATTGACAGGAAGACAAGCAAAAGAAACAAAAACAAAATAGAAGGGATCTTTTTTAAACTCCATTAAATTGCAGAAAATATTGTAATGTTTTTGTTGCCATGACTGTGCAAAGCTATTCCCAGTCCCAGGTGCAATAGAAAGTTGGTTGTTCTGAGGTTAATTCCTGCTGCAGCCACAGGCTCCTTCTCCTTTAATGTCAGCAGCAGAGAGGCTGGTGCTGAAATGCTTTCTGCTGCAACTTAGAATGACAGGACTTCCTTTTCATCTCTTGTATCAGCTGGGTTTATGTAATGGCTCAGTTGGGTAAGAGCTGGGTGTGAGTGTCACTCTGCCCTTTCACCTCCAGGAAGGATCTCCAAAAAAATTCATTTCTAAGTGAGAGAAAATCCCAGTTGTAACTACAGCCCCAAATCATAACTTCCACTATTTCTTTCTATCCTCTTGTTTTTGGCTGTACAAACAGCATTCCTTTGTTTTCCTGGTCTTGTCAAGGGCAGCCAGAGCCTCTGGGACTTCTCAGGAGGGGGCAGCTGAGCAGAGAGCCTTGAGCTCTCTGTAAGAGTGAGAATTTGCCATTTAATTTGTGTCTGTTCCTCCACACCTGATTTTCCACAGTGAGCACAAGGTACCAAGTTGTCCCTTGTTCTTGGTGCAATTCTAAGCAATCCTTGTGGCCTTGAAAATCTAGATCAGACAAGATCAGCTCAATTCTGGCTGTGCAATTTGATGAAAGTTTCAAGTGCATCTTGCTTGTCACAAACCACAGTTTATTTTTTGACCTTTTTTCCTCATGTGAAATTTCAGTCATGCATTTCTGTGCAGTAGGGATTAAACAAAAACCATCCTTGCAGCCTGTGTTAGCATGTTTTTGTGTGCAAAGAAAGCCCAGCTGTGACAGATTTCACTGTGAGCATCACTCCAAAGGGTCTCATCCTTTCTGGACCTGCAGATGTTCAGGGCACAGCCCAGAGCTGCTGGCTGTGGTTGGTAACATGCCCTTGGGGAGGATTTCATGCTTCTCAATCAGAATTCCTGAGTGCAATTCCTGGAGCCCTCTTATCACCCACAGCCAGCAGTGCAGGGGGTGTTTTTAATTGGAAAATTTGTGATAAACGCAGAGGTGGCATATTTACTCACAACAGAGTGGGGGAAATGATAACAATGTTAATCCCATGAGGAGTGTAGCAAGAAATTCACAGTGTTGGCAGCGTAGGTGCAGGTGAACTTTCTTAGCATCTGAGAAAAAATAAAAAACCCACAAGTGAAAAGCCAGCGTGGGATTGAGTTGGGAAAAAGCACAGAAGCAGCTCGTGCTTGGCAGGGTGGCTCCATGGAAAGTAGGTCTTGTCAAAAACATCACATTTGGGGTTAGGGCTTTTTGCTGATAAAGGCAAATATATGGGTTTTTTGCAACACTTTTCATACAAAATCACAGTTGTGATACACAGACTGAGAGTTCAAGAGCCAGGAGAGTGAAAGACTGCAAAAAACAAGTTCTCAGTGGAAAATCTTCCAAGTGGTGTCTTGAGAGAGGCGAGCTCCCATCATCTCCCGACAGCCTCGGGACGGTGCCATGAGAAGTGTGACAAAAAGAAGGGGCTGTCAAAGCTGTGCCATGTCTGCATGGAGACATTCCTGCATGTTGCCATAGGGATGGGTTTCCAAGGGAGACAGGTGATGCACTTTTCTGGAACAAAACTAAAGCAGAGGGATGAGGGTGGGAGGATGGGGCTGAGCATTTTATCACAGAATCCCGGGATGGTTTGGGTTGGAAGGGACCTTAAATCCCACCCAGTGCCACCCCTGCCATGGCAGGGACACCTTCCACTGTCCCAGGTGCTCCCAGCCCTGGCCTTGGGCAGTGCCAGGGATCCAGGGGCAGCCCCAGCTGCTCTGGGCACCTCTGCCAGGGCCTGCCCACCCTCACGGGGAGGAATTCCCAATTCCCAAATTCCCATCTAACCCTGCCCTCTTTTTTAGCCACCCAACCCTCCTTTCTTCCATGTTTAGCACTAGTAATCCCTTAAGGAGTGCACTTTTCCTTAAAATTCCTTGCAACTTGTACAGCAGCCTGACTTAGCCCCACAGGCAATGCTCCTCTTAAAACCCTTTTAGCTGCAAGCCCAAAAGACTTGCAAGTATGAGATAATGTTTGACAGGTGAGGAGGAATTTCTCTCTTGAAGCAATTTCCCTTCTCTCAGGACTTCCTGCCTTTCATCCTCACCAAAATAGTTTTAATTTTTCCTTTAAATGCTCAAGGGGAGAAGGTATTTGAATACTGGCAGAGACTCAGCCAAAAAATAAGACTGGTGTCCAAATCACTGATTGCTGCTGCCTTCATTGGAGACATTCAATGCCATGCTTTAATGTCAGCCATTCTCAGTTTCTGATTTTCAGTGAAAAACAATCAGTGTCTGTAGGTCTGGAGCTCAGAGGGACTGGCTGCTCTCTCTTCAGCCAGGTCACAGCCTGATTTTCTCTAAAGAAACTTCTGATTCATGGATTTGCTCCTGTGCTCTCCCAACCTAAAGAGAGCTTTTGCAACATATCCTTGAGATCCTGAGGGT